GAGTCCATGAGATACGGCTGGTCTGATGATGTACGACATAAAGTCGACAGATCAAATCCACTCTCCAATCCTTCTCCCAGAACACCTCGCTGTTCCTCGTCAAAAGTACATATACTACCAAGTTTCAAGATAGCACGAACATTCAAAGGAATGCTCTTCTCATAGACACCTTCAATGCTTGGATGCTGTAGAAGTGTATCCATCTTGTCAGCCTCACGCAAATAGGTCTCCTCAGACAAAGTCAATTTGAACAAATGCACTGAAGGATGCCCGTTCGGCAAAGTGTGATTGACTTTCTCAACCTCACAATCTGGAACATCAACATCAGGGAGAGAGTCTCGTTTCAGATTGATGTACATCTGCCGGGGAACTTTGACTGTGAGAGTATGAACCTTTTTATCAATCAAGACAAAAGCTCGAACGATGCCTGGCCTTGTCGTTTCAGTCAGCTGCAAAACTTGCCAGGTACTGATATAAAGAAGCTCGGCTTGGTTTCTGAAAAGATGACTCAAAGAGTCATTGGCAATATTTGTCCTTTCGCCGAAAAGCTGGCGGCGGCGGGTGCGTGCTTGCTTCTGGATTTTCCACTTTTGCTTTTGATATTTCAAGAATCCGACATAATCGTCTGCCATTGGCGGCATCCTTGATGGCAGGCTAGCAAAAGGGTCGAGAGAAGTTTTCGTAGGACCTTCCGGAAGCTTTCTTTTCTGCGATGTCTTACTGTTTGGGGAGGACTTCAACTTCTCAGTTGAGCTTGCAATTACCTCACCTATATCACCGCTATGTTGCACACGATGGTCGAGGATATTCGTAGAGATGTCTGTCAATGGGTTTTTCTCGCTCTTCGCAAATACGTCGGTCATCTTAATTTGCTTAAACTTATCGTCCTTCACATTGATCCGCCTCTGCAGCCAATCTGGGTGAGCGACTCGAGGCACTGGGTTGCGGACCTTCTGGAGAGCAGCAGGGATTGTGATAAGTTTCTGCACGACAGATCCCAGTCGCTCCAGATAATAATCCCAATCAATCACAGTTCGAGGGTCACAATCGCCAGGGTCATCTTTCAGCCATTTCCGCAAGAAGAACCGTTTCACACTTTCTTCAGCCGAGAAGATCGCTACTGGAATAGCTCGCTCCGTAACAGGTGTATTCCTTGGCCTTGCAGATATGATGTATTTGCAGTTGAGACCTTTGTCTTTGACCATTTGCTCTCCCAAGAACTCTGCTAGACGGCGTGCCGTAGTGATAGATGTGGATTTCTGGCTACCATATTCTTCCAGAGTCTTCGTCATACTCCTGTTCTCAGAAATGAGTTCGATCAATTCCTCATCGGCCAATGTAGTTCCATGTTCATATAGCACATCCAGCCATCTGTCAGCTACTCGGGCTACAGCAGCATATGTTTCTTCAAGCGACGTTCCTTCTAAGAAGAACTTGAAGATTTGAGTCTGGAAAATCTTAATCAGCTTCAACTCTCCTCTCCGCTTCACTTCGAACCCTTTCAGCTCAGCCAAAGACCCATCATGATTGAAAACAGCATAGCGCTTCTTCAAGTTCTTATCCTCCTCTTTCGAGGTTGGCAGAATCATTGCTTTATACGGTCCGTCGACCTCGAAGAAAATGGAGTTGTCACTATGCGTCTCGTATCTAAAAGTCTTTGGATCGGCAAGGGTTTGGTACTGGTGATTAGTATAACTTCCATGGACAAGGTGATTCAGCATAACACATGGATAAGAAATCCCCAGCTTCTTCCCATTCTTCAGAGTGAAAGAAAAGTTCTCGGGGAAGGATCCAGGAAGCATACACCAGATACCGTCTGTGTCAAGCTCCAGTGGACGACCGATACGTTCAACTAGCTCTCTTGCCATCTGAATGATTCGAGCACCTGTCAGACACGTCACGCCAGCCATTTCCAGTGAATACCATCGAGATCCCTTTCTCATGACGTAACCGTAGAAACTGTTTAGGATGACTTTATGGGCAAGCTGTAGCGAGTCGAACAAAATGATCATCTTTTTTGCTTCTTCAATGTCCGCCGCCGAAGCACCTGCCGATTTGAGGGAATCAGTCTTGTTTTTCCAAACTTTTTGTTTGCCTTTGAAATCGTATCGGCGATCTCGGAAGTTGCGGACCGTGTTCACGTAGAAGGGATTCTCTCGCTGGCAGATAATAGCCTCTCGGACCATTGTCTTGCTGTCGTGAATTTTGTGGTAAATTTTCTTACTATAGTCCTGAAGCCTCTTCTTGACTATAGCAGACTGTTCTTCAACGCTCATATCGCCAAACAACCTCATCGGACTGTTTTTCGTCTTGCCTGGAAATCTTTCGTTTGCAACCGCTTGCCGAACCATGTTATATTCATCACGTTTAGCAGGAAGAAATTCGCCTCTCCAGGCCCACGGCATTCGCCTGTCACAGGTTTTGCCAGGTCGGTTGAAGTCGCAGGCAGCGCAGTTGGATTCCTGGATCATGGCATCTGGCTGTAATCGATTTGTGGTGATGATATTCGGGTACATGGAAGCAACATCCAAATGGTAGATGAAAGGATTCTCCTCCCTGTTCGGATTTTCCTTCAGGGCGATCAAAAGCTTGGAGATCTGTTCCTTGACTTCCTCGTAGTTGACGACATCATCCAATGACTTTTTCTCTTCCACCTCAATGCTGAATGTCAGAGCCGCGTCCAAATCGCGAAGCAGTTCATCGATGGCAGTAGGATCGATCTTGAATGTAACGGGGATATCACTTCGAAACACACCAGCTTCGATACTTTCCACGTGTCCACCAACATATGTCTCTGACTCCAGAAGGTGGCCTTCATAGAAAGCTTCGGGGGGTTCTTTGTGCTTGTTAGGCAGAACGATCTCGCCTTGATATGCTTGAACCATCAGCAGCATCTCACAAAGAGTACCTGTTCCTTTCCGCAGCGTGTCATCGGGATTAAGCGGGACAATGGTACAAAGCGAGAAGATGAAAGGATGGACGTATTTCATATATAAATAATATGTGGCGACGGCATCGGACACCGAATATTCGGCTAGTGTTTGAGGGCGTTCACTTGCGTACGGGGTCATGAGTTCCGGGTCGAGTTCATCAGGGTCATATCCGAGCTTTGCAACAGTGACGGCTTTTAAACCACGACTTCCCTGGGGGAGGTAACTATCACGGTTGACCCAAGCAAAGCAATCCATATGCACGCAGTGATCGCTCTGATAAATGTCTTCACTGTTTTTGCGAAAGCCGATCTCCGTATACATATCGATTCCAAGGACACTTGCTCTCGCTTCAACGAACGGCCAATCGAAGAAATCACCGTTATATGTAGCGATGACAGTCGGTTTGGCCTCTTTTATGTGCCCAAAAAATCTTTCTAGGACACTCCTTTCATCGGGTTCATTGAAAATCATGAATGGACCGTAGTATTCGGGCTTGGGCGTGTACTCGAAATCGTTGATATCTTCAGATACTATCTCTCGATTCGTAATCAAGAATCCTTGCCCGTCAATCATGTACGAAATCATCATAATTTGATCGATGACAGAGTCAGGGAATTTCAGCGGCAGTTTAGTCGTTTCAATATCAAAAGCGAGAACAACCGGGTCAGGACGTTGGACTCGTTCCTCTATGCAAGTCAATGAGATCACACCGTGTTTTGCCTCTACAGTGTACCATTTTCCTATACGGATATCTTCAAGACGATGTGTCAGTCAGGTAATCCACATCATTGGAAGGAGTCGCCTACCTTTGTCAATCGCCACTCTAACATGGTAAGGAACGTCATATTCCCGGATATCAATTATAAAATCACTCGCTTCCATAGTTCCATTAGATCGTGACTCATTAATTATTTCGTCATCAAAGAGATCAAAGCCAGCATTTGCGCTTAAGAACATAGTTAGCTCCTAACCAATCCAGCTAGCATCCGCCTGAGTTCAACAAACCTTGAAATCTCCACGTAAGTATCCATCACATTCACATTTTTCTTGTTCTTTTCCGCCAGTGGTAGAAGAGTCCTTCGAACTTCCAGCAGATGGCTTACATTTGCAAAGTACATTTGAAGGAAAGTTCTCCGGTGCCCGAGCAGGTGGTTCGGTAGCTTGAGGTCTTCTTTCTCTACTCTCGTGACCTTCTTGATAAGTCCTTCGAACATTCTCCGACACCATTCCTCAACTTCAGCCTCGTGTCCCTTCTTCACTGCGAGGAGAAAATATGGGTCATATTCAACTGTTGCCTTGAAACTTCCGCCGTTGTCTTCAAGAAAGTAATAGTCCACACCGGCGCGTCCCCCGGGGACATTCGGATCTTCTACTGAAGTACTGTGCATATTGGTAAGCCAACCAATCCTTTTCTCGCCGGACTCAAAGCGCGGGAATCCCAATGATTCGTCGATGCTGTTCGCCAGCCGAATCGCCTCGAATTTCTCATCTTGTGAGGTGGCTTCTGTCGATCGAAGAGAAGAAAATTCGATGGTCTTTGTCCGTTTTGGTTTGAAAGATGCAGCATTCGATCGAAACTTGTTTCCGTACTTGCTGGGTTTCCTCTGAGGCATTGCGACGATATGCCCACTGGCTAGGGCTGGATCACTGTGGGAGATGTGAAAGTTGCTTAAGCATGGAACGCAAACGTTAAGTATTAATTATTAGTAGAACACAGAATGGGCATGTTTGGTTCCTGCCAAATTGTAAACTTAGTAGAAAATTGATCAAAGTTTGAAGGCCCAGTGTACTCAATCTTGTTAACTCAGATCATGCTAAGCTACTGAGAAGCCCAAATTTGGTTGCTAATCTGCGGGTACCACTCGGACGCGTTCGCGTTCCACTATACGCGTGCCTTTTGGCCAGACATCCACCGCCCCCGGTAAAATTAACCAGGGTTGGCAGTATCAGGACCTCCGGATCATATCTTCTCCGATAGATCATTGTTCTTGCAAGAGTCTGCCAGCGATCTAGGTGATAGTACGTGTTGACTGGGCTTAAACAACAATTCAATATAGGTCATACGCCATGGCGGGGGACACTCTGGAATCGTCTACCCCGAACATTGAGCAGCATAACAGCTCCCAAGAGGCCTCCCAACAAAACAAGCCCAAGCATGAATTCCCCAAGTCACAGGTCGGAAAGCTATGGGATGCTTTTGGGAATCCCGAAGAGTCTGCGAACGTGCTAGCAACGGGGGCTGGACCCTCTGGGAGGGGCTCGAAGGACGCTACGGTCACGGAAGCTATGAAGTCAATGTCCCTTAAAGATGTCACATCATTCTACAAAGCACCATGCGCACGAGACTCCCTACTGCTGGGTATTGGAGCAGGGTTCGGAATTGGTGGCATCAGAGGTGTATTAGGAGGTAAGTGACTTTATTCACTCGGATTTTCTTAGGACATGACATTTGGTAACCCTAAAATAATGATTGTTTAGGATTGCGCTCATTATGGACTGCTTCCAATTGGGCTGTTGGCGCATTTGCCCTCACGTCTCTCGCAGCGCACGAGTTCTGCCAGCGGCGTCGAGTACAAGAGTTGGACGGTATGAAACAAGCTGTGGAGTTGATGAAAGAGCTGAAGATCAAGAAACAGCGAGAGAAGGAAGAGAAGGCTGCGGAGGTCGCGCGTTTGGCAGAGGAAGAGAAGAAAAAGAAGAGCTGGACGAACCTTTCGAACTATAAGTCTGGTAGTCCTTTCGCGCATTTCCCGGAGTCATGGAGTTTGCTGGGATCGCTTTGTAAATTTCGAGTGGGATGTACAGTACATATTTCTATCTCATCAGGCTCCAGCCTGCCAAGGAAGAATAGTTTCGTGATCGCATATCAATATCCAAACCAACGCCAGCTCATTCATATCCCATGCTCCATTGCATCAAAAGTTGCGCCAATCCAAGAAGAAAAAAGAAAGAAAACTTGGGAGACCAAGGGCAAGTAAAAAATAGAAAAGAAAGGAACAAGACAAAGAGATGGTAGGTGAAATCAATCAGACGTCAAATTTGACTCTCTTCTGAATGGCGCCCGACTGGATAGTCCGTAGCTTTTCGAAACCAACAGCGTCTCGTTTTTCCCTTCTTTTTTCTCGCGCTTCCCTTGCCTCACGACTCTTCCATTCCGCAAGCTGCTTCTGCCTCTTCTGTGATCTGGACCAGGCCATTGCCGCTGTCGGTTTAAAGCCTATTCCATTGATACCATATCCATCGTCGTTCGGATCACTTGGATCATGCCCGGTTATCTCGGAGTCGTGCCATGTAAGCGAGTCGTTAGCTGCACTGCTAGTGGGTGGCGGTGACTTCTTACGTGGTCGTTGTGTTTTTGTGGGGGTTCGTCTCTTGCGAGGGCTTTGTGCTGTCTGTTTCTTGGGAGACGGAGTTGGTGTAGCATTGCTCCGATTATCGATAATTGCTTCAGAAGGCCCACTGGCGACAGTGTTGGTTTCTGTCGCTGGGTTCGACTCGGACATATCATAAGAACTGTTATAGGAAGTAGCCCAACATCCCGACTCTGCGTAGTGCACAAGTGGTGACTGGCTTATATTACCATTCAGAAATTGCGGTGTCGGAAAGTGGTCCCCACGTATGGCCAGCTGCCCTAGGCGACCAGCAACGGCGGCTCGAGGACTATATCTCCCGAACTCTTCTTCCTCGCGAAGCTTCACTTCTGGTAGGCTAGGAGCCGAAACGCTAGATGGAGATGATATAGAAGGGCTGTAGCTATCGGATTCTTCTGAAGCGCTGCGCTTGGGCTTGGGCGAGTTCAAAATCATTGTCGGTGAACTCGTAGGCATCATCGCGGGGCTGAAACTGAAGGCAGATGTGGGGGCATCACTTTGATAAGCCTTCATTGATAAAGTAGAGACTCTCAAGTTCACAGGAACAGGGATCTCAGCAGATCATCATCTTCTATAGGTCCTATCCCGAGTTTGTATCACTTGCAGCCATCATAGCTCATATAAATGGAGGATTGCAGAGTATGCAAGGGCTCGGGCCATCGCCATTGAGTGAGAAGCAATGGGGTTGGTTCATTGTTCGAGAGGGGGTTTGCGGCAGTTTGTCTCCTGTGGACGACGGCAGTACGATTCCGCCTTCTTTCCGATCTAAAACGCCATGGCAATTGAATAACTGTAGGGCTGAATGAGTGTAATATAGTAGTCTAGCAGGTACTAATGTACAAGTATCGCATAATGCTCAGATCCATGTAGAACATAAAAATCCGATTGACATTTTCAGGAGCTACAGACAAAATTTTAGCACGACGGAGGCCTCAATCGAATAATTTACAAATACCCAGCCCAACAAGTCGTGAAGTAAAACAAAACATAGATAGGAAAATATAAACTCAAAATCAACCCTACAACGCCGCGACAATGACGCCCTCGTGTCCCAGAAAATGGTGCATTTAAACCTTCTTCTTCTTCTTGGACGGCTCAGCATCGCTGTCGTGCTTCCGCTTCTTCTTCTCAGACTCGCCCTCACCAACATCGGACTTCCTCTTCTTCTTCTTCTCCTCCTTGTCGCCCTTCTCCTTCTTCTTCTCCTTCTTCTCACTCTTCTCCTTCTTTTCCTTCTTCTCCTTCTTGTCCTTTTTCTCCTTCTTGCTCTCAGCCTCAGCATCTTCCATCTCTTCATCGCTCTGATCCACATCGACGTCCATATCAGCTAAGACAGCATCCATGGCGTTTTTCTAGATGCAACATTAGTATATCACCCAAAAGTTGAGAGCAATGGTGATAATGGAGGAAAACATACCATAGCAATTTCATTCTTAGTAGGGGCCGCTCCGGTAGCATAGAACTCCAAACGCTCCTCAACTTGCTTCTTGAGGACTTCACCAAACTTGGTCGTAGGCTCCTCAGAGAAGTTATCGATTCTAGAGGCGATAGAGCACTTGTTCGCAAGGAATCGAGAGATCCGACCCTTGTTCTTGGGGCCAGCCTTGCCAATGAAAGAAGAGTGGTACAGAAGACCGTACTTAGGGGTGTTTCCCTTAGTCTTCAAGGCTCTGAAGAGAGCCTTCTCAGCACCGAGAATCTGCACAGTGGAAGCGGGGTATTTGGAAAGGTTGGTCAAGCTTCCGGCATGCGAAATGAGACGAGCACCAACGATCTCTCCAATCAAGGCAGCAAGATTGGGGGCAACAACGCTCATCTTGGAAGTCAGGTACGAATGCAGAGACTTGCGGTACTGAGAAAGGCTGACGACTCTTTGCGCAAAAGCGGTGACGTTCTCCATGTCGGTCTCAGAAATCTCTTGGCCCATACTGTGCTTCGCAGCATCAATAATGCTTTGGGCAACGCCCTCATCGTCCTCCACAAGAGCAGCAAGATCGTGCAATTTGTCGTCAGTCAGAGTGGTCTTATCCTTCACGAACAGAGCGATTTGCGCATAGCGCTGGTTGTCCGAAACGATCTTGATGAGCTCAGGGAAATGCCACGAGTACCACTCCCGAACTCTCATAGAGAATGTGTTAATAGCCTTGTCGAGCTGGTCAAGGATAGCAATGGCCTGGATGATATGGTTATCGTCACGCTGGACAGAGAACTTGACCTTGGCACGGGAGTAAGCGTGACCAAGACCAAGTTGAGCAGTGTCCATATCACCCTCACGGAGTTGCTTCAGCAACTTGGTAGCGTGAAGCCTGATACCACGGAGCATGTCTTGGACAACCTCGCTGGTGTCGCCGGTTTCGCAGTCAACGAAAGAAAAGGCAGACTTGATACTTCCGGCCAAAGCCTTGTCCAGGACGCCCAGAACAATCTTCTTCTTCTTGTTAGGCTTAGGAAGGTTCAATTCGAGGAAGGAAATAAGAGTATCGGAGGCAACACCTTCCGAGACATCGTTAATTTCGCTCAAAGCCATCTTGTTGTTCCTGGGACTAGTCAGTCTTTATTAAAGAACCCAATCAGGAAGTCGGACATACTCGAATGGGAGGAAACTAGCCAACTCAACCATTTTTCCAAACTTAGAAAGATCGTTAACACCATCCTGGACCTCCTTCAAGCGATTGCCGACGCTGTCACCCTGGTGGGCGACCTTGAAAAGTCCGTAGCCCATAGGGCCCTCGAAAAGTAGGAAGTCGGCCATGGTGAAATTGAGTCAAAGGGCCAATATAACAAGGGAAAAATTTCCTTCAAGTGTAATCGATCGAGCCCCTTACCCAAATCCCGGGAGTCTGCGGTCGTAGACTTGCCGTGGAGCGCCGTGGAGTTGGTAAAAAAAGGCTGGAGGGCAAATTTGGAGAGTCGAGCCGTCGGAGCTCTTTTTTTTCGCGGCGGCGCTAGTGCGAATACTGAATGTGGGCTTTTTGCCAAAACTACGAGCTCACCGCATTCGACGGCAAACACCACCAGCTTTGTGCCAGTGCGGGCTATTCTTTGGGGCCGATAGCACCAGCAAGCCTGTTTTTCTACGAGTTAGTTCGCTGGGGATTGCTGATTGTTATTTACCCATTCAGCAAAAATGTCTGCAACTCAGTTACTTAATCCCAAGGCCGAGTCGAGGGTATGTCACTGATAATTTCCCCCTCAGAAGTAGCCCCTCAGTGGTCACACGCAAATTAACATTGCACAGCGGAGGGCGGAAGCCTTGAGAGTCAATATTAGTGCTGGTGAAGGTCTCCAGGATGTTCTTAAATCTAACCTGGGCCCCTCCGGGACATTGAAGATGTACGTTCTCATACGTGATAGATGCAAGACGGGAAAGCACTGACAAAATTTAGGTTGGTGGACGGTGCCGGCGGAGTATGATATATTTCCCCTTATCGCAAAATCAGCTACCTAATGAGCATGCAAAATAGATCAAACTGACTAAGGATGGAAATGTGCTATTGCGAGAGATGGTAAGGCTTAGGCAAATCTATGAACCCTCAGGCACAGGCTAATGTTTGTACAGCAAATCCAAAACCCCACCGCCGTAAGATGCCTTCCTCACGTTTCCAGAGACCCCTTCGAATACTGATTTGGCGAAGGTCATGATTGCCCGAGCTGCGACAGCACAGGATGATATCACTGGTGATGGAACAACTTCCGTGGTGTTGTTGGTGGGAGAACTTCTGAAGCAGGCAGATCGTTACATCTCCGAAGGATTGCACCCTAGAGTAATCACAGATGGATATGAGATCGCGAAGAACGAGGCTCTTAAGGTCAGTACTGAGAGACTGGTGTTCATATGAGCGTCGAGGCTGATACTTTTGTATACAGTTCCTTGATCAGTTTAAGATTGAGCGTGCAATCGACCGTGAGCTGTTGCTGTCTGTCGCTCGGACTTCGCTCAGTACGAAATTGAACAGTGCACTTGCCGAGAAGCTTACCCCCGACATTGTCGATGCCGTTCTCGCTATCCACAGAGCTCCCGAGAAGCCAGATCTGCACATGGTTGAGATCATGACCATGCAACACCGCACATCTTCCGACACCCAACTCATTCGTGGTCTTGCCCTGGACCACGGTGCAAGACACCCTGATATGCCTAAGAGGGTTGAAAATGCTTTCATCCTCACCTTGAACGTCAGTTTAGAGTATGAGAAATCAGAGATCAACTCCGGTTTCTACTACTCTTCTGCTGAACAACGAGATAAATTGGTGGAGAGTGAGCGCAAGTTTGTGGACTCCAAACTGCAGAAGATTGTGGAGCTCAAGAAGCAGGTCTGCGGCCTGGATCCGAAGAAGAACTTCGTTGTTATCAACCAAAAGGGTATTGATCCCCTGAGCTTGGATGTCCTTAGCAAGAACGGTATCCTTGCCCTTCGGAGAGCTAAGCGGAGAAACATGGAGCGTCTCCAGTTGATCTGCGGTGGTGTCGCCCAGAACAGTGTAGAGGATTTAACGCCTGACGTTCTCGGATGGGCCGGTCTTGTTTACGAACACCAGCTCGGGGAAGAGAAGTATACTTTCGTCGAAGAAGTTAAGGACCCCAAGTCTGTCACCATCCTCATCAAGGGACCCAACCAGCATACCATCGCTCAGGTTAAGGATGCCGTCCGTGATGGCCTGCGGTCCGTGTACAACTCCATCGTCGATGGCTGTGTCATCCCCGGCGCCGGTGCGTTCCAAGTTGCCTGCGCCGCCCATCTGTCGTCCGAGAACTTCCGCAAGACTGTGAAGGGTAAGGCTAAGTGGGGTGTCGCCGCCTTTGCGGATGCCCTTTTGGTCATTCCCAAGACGCTTGCAGCCAACTCAGGTCACGACATTCAAGACTCTTTGGCAGCCCTGCAAGATGAGCGGACAGACGGCAACATTGTTGGTTTGGATTTGACTACTGGCGAGCCGATGGACCCCGTGCAGGAGGGTGTCTTCGATTCCTTCCGTGTCTTGCGCAACTGTGTCGCATCAAGCACTGGTATCGCTTCTAACTTGCTTCTGTGCGACGAGCTACTGAAGGCCAGGCAGATGGGTAAGCAGGGAGGACCAGGTGGTATGGATGAGTAATGCTGTCACAACGTATAGATCAGATCATGTAAAGGAGCTCGGACAGGATTTATCTTCGGTTTTCCCCGTTCAAAAATAGTTGATGCCAAAATGTATTCCATAAATACAGAACGCCATGCTAATGAGCTTGGGTAATCTAGTGTGCCCTGAATAATAATCTACGCCGGTGGTGGCAAGATATCCAAATCATTGATAGAGATTGGGCTGTCACATTATGAGCAAAAGCAATAGAAACAGCAATCAAAGGGGAGTTAACAACAGCCTGTACGATGCTTCAGTCGAGGTAAAGTATCCATTCATTGTCCGTATGCGAGTCATATGGCTCTGGCAAAGATCGGGAGTTAGATGGTACTAAGTTACTTCATAATGCGTGTCCATTCATCTCGCTCGGTTTAACATTGAGTTCATGAAGGTCTATCATCACAGTATACTAATACATACTGGTTGCCAGATCTGGCGTAGCCAAAATTAATTTTATACATTTACTCATCACCCTCACCACTGCCTGAATCGCTGATTTCAGGTGTGTCGCGTGGTGCCCATCTTCCAAGAAAGCCCTCATCTCTAACAGGATCTCGTAATGTAACACGATGAGCTTTTGCCCATTCAAGCACATCCGATTTTCGTATCATCACTGTTCCGCCGTCATCAGGTTCGCCAGCATCTTGATTCGCCTTACGTTTTTTAGTCGGTGTTGTAGGTTCAACAATTCCCATGCCTTTGAGAGCTGTGATGACATCTTCCGTTAACATCCCGGTGGCCAATCCTATATCCTGTACTGTCATGACTTCATGGGGATGCTTTTTGCGAGAGCCCTTGGACGGCTTGGGCTTCTGCTGTGGCGAGTCCTCCATGTCTGCAGAATCAGAGCCATGTAATAGTAAATATCGAGCAATCCGTTCCTCCCAGAATCGACTATAGCTCTTTCGTCCCATCTCACTTAGTGGTTTTTCCGGCCCACCTATCAAACCTCCGTCTTTTTCCCAATCACTCAGTTTATAACTCACACCCATCAACAGCTTGCCCAGCTGTTTATGCTGATACGGAGGGAAGATCAAAATGCAAGCAAGGTTGTTTGCGTCCCATGAGAGCTTCTCTTTTGAGAAGAATCCCAGGATATAATAATTTTCTGGATCATCGGGGTCCGTGAACGTGAGGAGGTAGTAGAGGAAGGACGCGACATCGAAAAAGACCGACTTATGATCGAGGAATAGTTTCGCGAACAGGGAGAGATTCTGCGCAAATAGTTTATGGTCCTCACCGTCTACCTCCCATACGGCGTACCCGCCATGGTCGTAGACCTTGGTCCCCGGAGGTGTCGTTCGGTTTTCGCAAACCCGTGTGTGTTTGGCATAGGCGTCTGTGTCGCACGAATACCGGAAACACCAGCGACAGACGTATAACCGATCCGTATCCTTGCTCACAAGGTCTTCTGGGTAGATGGACTGGTACCAGGTCTGAAAAAGGAGGTCACCTAGCACGACGTGTTTCACGTTACGGTCCGCGGACGGTTTCGTGTGCGACGGGGCATTGTTGGGAGGCGCCATGGAGTGTTTGCGACGAGAAAGGGCGAGGGAATCGCGAGAGCAAGCGGGAGGATTTTAAAACTCCGTCCGGTGATCTATAGGTGTGGATTTGCCTTTGATGCGTATTTCTGAAGGGATGGCCATTGGCGTGGTTGGTATAGGACGTGTTTGTCGCGGTCAAAGAGAGCGGGTATCACAGCGTTGCGATAGCTTTAGGAACGGAATCACCGATTCCAATTAGAGAGAAGGTTCAAACCAAGTGAGAACATGTGTTATGACATACTCAATTGAGGAAGAATGATAATCGTGTCATAACAATCATGACAATACCAAGAAACAATACTGTTCCTGCCAATATTCAAGCGGCAGGTGCTGCAGCAGCACACATGAAAGAAAGTTCATGTAATAAAACATCAAATCAAAGGCTCGAAAAGGGTTTAAGCCTGCGGGAGTACGTAAGATGAGGGTCACTTGATAGCGGCCATATTCCAATCACTGCCTGTCATGCGGGGCCAAAGCTTTACCTCTAAATTTACTGGAGTTATCGCATTAACTCTACTATTAAATCCTTTTGTCGACCGCAACAAGCAATTCTCTCCTCCGTCTCCGACGAAACTAACTCGGTTGCCTATATCCCTTTCGAACTTGATTCGTTACACAGCTTTTCGCCATCCGGATGACAATGGGCAACGCTTTCCTTTGGTAGGTAGGAAGAGTAGTAACCTACCTACCGTCTTAACTTGCTTTTGCCATCGCTCTCGCATAGGCAACAGCATAGCCTCTCGTCACCTTCGCCTCATCAGCAAGCTTCATGTTACTCCCGACCTCTGGCTAGTCCATCTTTAATCTCACGTCTCCTGTTCTTTTTCACTCTTTGTCTTGAAATCCATCGGTCGAATTAACACGATCTCGCCTCTCGTTTCTCTGTCTATCTATTACGCTGTCGTCTCTTTCCGAATATACCCTTCCCGTTGCCCCGAGCGGCTATTTTAGTGAAAGCCAAAATGTTGAAACCTTTTCAGATAAGAGATCTTCATCGATCTTCATCCCAAGACAGTCTCGCTGCATCTCAAAGTCTTGATCATGCCGTGGTAGAAGACCGCAGTACCCTTGAGAGTCACCATCAGGGCATTGTCCAGTTGTCTGCTACAGAGTATGATGAGATAACGACGAATCATCCTAGAGCCCGGCTTACATACGTCGATGATGACGACGACGAGCTCATCACAGTATGTCTCCTCATACAAACATATCTGTCTACCATGCTAATAGTGAATTGTAGGTGGGGTCATCTCTCGAGCTTTCCCAGCGTTTAGAAGAACCCGTTGATACTTCTGCCATTCCACAACCGACGCTGGAATCGATCGCCCCTGGGCCGATGCATATATTCGACATTCGACGGTCTAACTCAGTGAAGAACCTATGGAAGAAGTTTGAATATAAGCCTCACTTGGAAGACCATCAGGATAGGAATGAGATCGACACGGTTCCTGCAGCCGCGGATGCTTCTCAATCTAATGCACAGGAGGAGCCTAACTCCAGTTGTGAGAATCCTGGCCCCACTATGACTGATGTTCCAGAGCCGCTCTTGGCCGCATTTGAGGCTGAGATGGCCAGGATTTTGAATGCTACTACCACCGTGCGTGACGGCAACGCTCAACCAGAGCCTTCGGCCGAGACGCCAGCAAGAACAGAATCCAATGACCGACGTCAGCATCCGGGCGATGCCTTTATACATGCTCTGCACAATCTGGTCGAGGGTGCTGAAATGATTGGTGCTGGTGTGAGATCTAGGCTGCCGGAATTCGAGCGGCAGTTACAGAATGTTCAACGCACTCTTCCAGAACATGTTGGGTCGTCGGTGCAAGTAGCCCTTGCAGCTTTGGATAGTCAGGCGAGGCACCTGATCCAAGCACTCAATAACGCATCGGCTGTGGGAGGACAAAGAGCCGGATATCTTTTTCAAACTGAACTACCTACCCCAGCCGCAACTATAGAGGGACTTCGTAACATGGCATCCGAACTTGGCCACATGGGAAACACATTGTTTGAGGCCTTCGAATCCGAGTTTAGATGCAATGTCTCAAGAACCCAAAATCAGCGAGCCCCTGGAGATTCACAGCCAACCGAGCCCACTGCTGGCGCCCGGCCTGATATCTCGACAACATCACCCGAAGCTCAGCAATCCACTCCAGCCGCAAATTGCGAGAACGAGAAAGAACCTTTGGCAATCGAGACACCAACTGCTCCATCGACGGAGGTTGAATCACCGGAAGTCTCAGTGCCCACGAATCACAACGCCGATCCTTCGATGGCGTCACGCCAACAGCCAGGGTCTTCGTCGCCGACATCTCCACCAAGCCCAGATATTCACACGCAGTTTCCTAGCTTATGGAACAGACCACACCCCCTTCCTCACAGGCCTCATCCCTCATCCCGCAATGTCCGACCTCCGTTCGCCACGCCAAACACGTTCTATCCACCTCCGCCATTCCCAGTGCCTCCTCCCGTGTTCTGGCCACACCATGGTCCCCCTCCACCTCATGGACATCCTCACGGACCTCACCCTCCTCCTCCCCCTCCTCCTCATCATCATCATCATCATCACCAACATCCCCCTCCGCCTCCTCCCCCACCACATGGCTTCCTCTCCCATTCTCCTCACCCACATGCTCCACACCACGGGCCATTTTATCCCCCGACAAGTGTCCTGCCTGTACCTCCGCGACCACCTCGCCACCGGCATAGAGACTGGCCTGCGTTCCACCATAGGCAGAATGGCAATGGAGCACCGGCACCTGAAACAATTCGCCATTCTGAACACGACTTGCCCTCTTCGTTCACAGCTAGCTCTGCCGGAGCATCACTTTTCATTGGTAATGTGGGATTCGGTGTTCACGAAGCAATGATTCGCGATGTTTTCGCTTCCAAGGGATTCTTAGTTGATGTACATTTGCCGCTAGATGCAGAGACAGGAAGGCACGCAGGCTTTGGCTACCTGCGCTTCCCTTCCATCCACGCAGCAAAGGCGGCGTTGGACGCTTTGCAAGGTGCTCATATAGATGGACACTCGATCAATCTGGAGATCAGTGATCACTCTCCGATCACCACGCTGGACACATCACAGGGCCGTGAAGAGCATTCTAATCAGCACAAGCGCCTTCGGAGCTTCAGTCTTCCTCTATTGCCCCAACTAGAGTGGGGCAGACGTCTGAACCGCAAACTATTGGAGAACATGGTTCATCCAACGAGCAGAGATCGGCGCCCTTGACTGTAGCGGACCTCTGCTCGAGCGATATCCGCCAATCAGCTAGGGCGTCTTCTAGCGAAACCAGCTTGGTTGGCTCCTCACTTTTGGACTCGGAACGACTCAATACTCTATATCCCTCGCTCTTGCCTGAAGGTTCTCCTCAACAACCTATGGTAAGCAACAACACATCTACGCAGCTCCCAGATCTCAGTCGTGAGCCTGAAGAACGCCGTTTCCCACCGGTGTCACAGTTGGACGCACACTTTCTGGCTGAACAACGCGGCGGAGCAGAATCGTCTAGTGAAGCTTCCACTTCCAGAACTAGATCGACTCTCCAGAGGAGTGTCGGAGTTGACAGCCATGACAGTTTGTATGGGCCGACACCACCAAACCTACCCGGTGCATTTCCCCAGGACCCTCAAGATAGTTATCAACCGCGCCCTTCGTCGCTAGAAACCGATGCTGTGCAGCAGCAAAACAACAGCGATCGTATGTCTGCCTCATGCTACCGCCGTCGCCCCAGGACTGTGAGATCTTTCCATCCGTCTCGAAGACATTCGGGTCCGTGGGATACCCTACGAGCTGAAGAGTCTCATGATAATACCAGGCCCCTAAGGCGACGGGCTACTGAACGTAATTCCCTCCGGGATGGTAGGGAGATGGGCCCGACGAATACCTTCAATCGGCGATCATACCGCAGTGATGCCATGCCCCGCCCAAGCACATCTACGGCTGAGAGCGGTCCTGGAAGACAACGCAGCATTGATGACTGTGTGTCTGCTCTGGCTAGCTTGGGCTATGGAAGCGCCGAGGAAGGCGGACTTCAGAGGATCGCTGTGTATGCGGCAGCAGTGGATGGCAGGGTATCAGATGCTATTGAGATGATTGAGGAAGAGCGGAAGGCTTACGAGCAACAAGGATCAGTGAGGTGATGACTGCATTCTTTTGCTGTATTACTTTTGAACGATCTCACTATCTGAAGTAAAGTCTGCCACTAGCTGTTTGCCCATATTTCTATTTCTTGGTTAGTACTTCGTCGGGAGTTTGGTGTTCAGGAATGATTGCTATGTTCTCCTCTACTGTGGTACTGCTCTGGTGTAGGCGGGCTACTTATTATATTAACAATTTGATTTCAAAATCTTATTCCCTTTGTGAACTATTCACCAGGATTAATCTTGTAGACTCTATTTTATGCCTAGGATAAGCAAGGGATAAGTCAAGGGTAACTATATGTATGACGATACAGAAAATAAAAAGATATACAACAGCACACAACTTTTCTCACGCTTTGCCACTCACGTTCTGGGGTCTTCAGGTGAATATTCAGATGCCTGATGAATCTCCACGCAATGCACTTAGAGCTATATCCCCGCTACCTGCTCTCTCCTGAATATGAAAAGTATAGCTGAAGGATTCAAATTTTGATAGACTCATACATGAAATACAATAGGTCAAGTTAAGGAAGCATTCACAATAGAAACCGTCCAGAATTTCTACCGAGCTCTATCTACTATGGAGGAGGTATCTATTTTTGAATCTCATCTAGTTTATACTAAAAGCTTTTAAAGTATATGATAGTGGATTTAAAGATTAAACCTAGTCCGTGCTGCCTGCAGCAAGGATGCAACTTCTAGGACCCAGGAACTTGCAGTGTTTCATATTTTTAGAAAAGCACAATAGTCACCCAATTCCAGCCAATCAACGCTATCATTTAAATAGTCCGGTTCTTGGCCACGGGTATCTGACATGGAGAATACTAGATGTAGGCTCTTGAATATGCTCCGGAATATTGCTTTTCGCTCCGCCACAGAGAGCAAGTCTCAGATGTTCTGCGAGGCTGAGCTCGTGATATCACAGCTATCCTGGCTTGCATGTTCACTATCACTGAGGTTTGATATCTAGAGTATCTTCTACGTCTGCTCCACAATCGGTTGTGCTGCTTGCAATGCCATGCAATGAATGTCCTTGATGTATCCCAGCTATCTGACACTTTGCTCGTCTGTTGGCTGAATTTGACCGGTGAATGAAAGCACTAGAGGTACAAGATAAACTCATGAACTTGTATGTAAGATTAGCTGTTTTGAAATTGCAGTGGTCGCTAAAAATTCCCTCATGTAGGCTTAATTCAAGAAATCTAGACATCTACTGCCCGGATGGTCTAGTGGTATGATTCGCGCTTAGGGCTCACCCAAAGCATTGCATGATTGCGCGAGGTCCCCGGTTCGATCCCGGGTTCGGGCCTCTTTTTTCCACCCCTCTTTTCGTTCCCTCTTTACCTCCGCTGCCTCTTTACCTCCTTTCGCTATCTTTTTACCTCTTGTTCTTACCTTCCAGAGACGGCTACGAATCTAGCCAAGGAAGCGCACTCCCACTCACCACATAAGCTAGACATCCTAAAATCCAAACCCCATGGCCATGCGCTTAGATCATAGCCATAGCCCTGGTTGGCCTAGCGGCCCACAACAATATTATTCATACCTGTCTACGTATGGGGTAGTTAAACAATAAGCGGATTAGGCATTTCATCCCAACATTCAATACTATACGGAATATAAAGTAAAATGTACTGTCCTACCTAGGTTTCGCAGCGTATCCTGCAATGTGATATTGCGTTAGTAAGTCCAGCCATGAAGGATCCATACCCTCGCAAATTGTAGACGATCTGCAGCCCCTCCGGTCGGGTCCTACGGAAACATAGCATACTGAGTCGAAGGCAGTTCGGATAACGTGTGTTGGTCGCGGCTGGCATCGAGAGCTGGACAGGATACGAGCCCGATATGGGAGAGGCTAGAGGTCTCGGAGACTACAGTGCGCTTCGCACATTCGAGGAGCGATTCATGGGCGCCAGCATCGGTCAGGGCATCCGACCATATTTGGAGACTGCTGTTAGCATAGTGTAAAGCGGGTGCGTCGGTCACCACCGCTATTCTATCTCATTCCGATGTTCGCTGCTCGCGTCGTCGCACGTACATTCCTATACTACCGGCCGGTACAGTCCACGAAAGAACGAAGAACTTGTTTGATTCCTCTAGGCTATGGCAAACGGCTACCTAGTATATGTACCATACATGATCATGTAATAAGTAGGGGGTGTCAGCCTACTATAATGGCTGCGGGAGTCAAGTCCAAACAAGGGGGGAAGCTCCTGGGAGGAGAGTTATGGAGAGGGGAGACCGGGATAAAGTACAGATACGACGCACGAGTATTTGATTATGGTATCGTAGGAGGACACGGCGCTTTTATCACATTAAGGGATATATAAACCATGTTAGACGGAAAGATAGTGACAAGAGGAGAGGATGGGGGACATAGCTCATTAGAATTGGCCCTTGTGTAACGGCGGTATACTATATAGGTGACCCTAGGGCATTCTGGATCGTTGGTCCAGAATTATCTGATCTTTTAGTCTTGTGGGATATAATGCCCTGGTTATGTCTCTTATACATTGCTTGGGTTTACTCAATCTCTAGATTCTCTAAACCCCCACGAAAGGTCCACCCTAATCCTTGGGTAGGGTCACTTAGTAGGATCAATACTAGAGGCTGTCAGAATAGTTGTGCTTCTTGCTTATTTAGTGATCCAACCCGGTGTTTATAGTTATCGTTGTATGCTTAGGTAGGTAAATACCGTTTCCTTGGGGCAGGCCCTAATCTGGCAGTAAGTACCCAGATACTTAATGGTCAAACGACTTAATGCAGTCTTATGCTGGTCTTACCCATGAGATTCGGTAACTAGCATATCAGCTACGAACGACCCGCTGACAGCCCCATCAATAGCAGGATTGGACGCACGTTTATACTTGGAATCGGAGGAGAGTAACAGATCAGGTCCCAGATCTAACCATGCATGTCACAAGAATGCCTCTACCCACCGCGCTGAATCCACTGCAAATATAACTATCCGTTCCTTCCTTGGGCTTATATAAACAGTTCAACAGCAACAATACTCAGTCAAATTAATTTGGGCTTAACACTTCTTTCACAAGTGCTGTAACACACAGATCCATTGATTGAATGCAAAGTAACAGACTAAAAAAGACAGAAAGAAATCCTGGACCCGGGAAACTAGGGAACTTCAATTATGGTACTGCGAAATACTAGATAGAATGGACAAAAACATAGGCCCGAACCCGGGATCGAACCGGGGACCTCGCGCAGTTATGCAATGCTTTGGGTGAGCCCTAAGCGCGAATCATACCACTAGACCATCCGGGCAGTAGATGTCTAGTTTTCTTGAATTAAGCCTACATGAGGGGAGGTCTTATGACTGTAGTGATTTTATCCTTGTTTGCTTTGCTCGTTTTACAATAACAGCCCCCCCTTCCTTCTTTGCGATTCTCCTGCTACCTTAATTTATCATTGAGGTGGACTTGCTACGCCCCTAGCCTAGTGCTGAATTCGCCCCCTCAATCAAAGTTCAACACGGGATCGATAGCTAAAGACAGACGATTTAGCATCATCACCAAAACGACTAAAACATTCACTTTCCGGCCCAGAGAGATTCCCCGGTAGTTCAATCAAGTATCACATATAGGACACAATAGATCATGTTAAAATTGCTACCGACAGTTCTTCTGCTGGGGAGGATATAGCGCAGATTTAATATGTCCTCAACCCCAACTTGAAGGTTCGAGCAATGGTGCCTCCACAGCTTGCAACCGCTCGCGATAATAATATACACGAATATAAAACGATCCTTAAGCAACTCCGGCTGGTCTATAACAATCCAGAGGAGATTCAAGAAGGTAAGAAATGTCTACTCTCAATCGAGCAGGACACCGATTCCTTCCAAAGTTTGCGGCTTATATTGCAAGGTAAAGGGATTCTCTACTCCTCAGCATTCCGCAAAGGCCTCAATAGTAAATTCGACAGTTATCTATAGTACCAGCTCGAATTTATGTATACATATTCAGAATTCCTTGAGGCCGTACAATGTAATGGGCCAGAGCCCAGCAGTAAATGTCGGCGCTACCTGCGCTGTAGCGACTTTTCATTTTTACTGGCGTGATTGACGATATTAGTTCATGCCTACCATATATATAGTGGTCATAGAAATGCCTCCTAGCCGGTTGTACTACATGCTATATCTCTTTTAAGCCGGGTAAAGTGGGATTGATATACAATTTTATACCATCCAATCACCGCCAATCATATAAGTAGGCAGCAAATACAATTCGAATTAGAAACACTTATCATGGCGGACATACTGTACTACGATAAGAATACAGGCTCTGTTCAACAAAATAACGTAAGGAGGAGGAGCGTCGTATAACAACGAAACAAGCACAACAAACAAACCTACCTCTATATTCACTGCCATGACACTCCCCTTCCAATTGAATAATCCATCTAGTAGTTCCATTAGATGGTGGGAATAATAACAGAAAAGTAAGAAAATGAAGAAAATGCTTCCCACGACAGCCTTGCAATCACAGCATCCATCGTTGGTTGGCACATCATATCATCATCGCCGCACTCCAAGGTATGGAGAATTTTCTGGTGTACAGTTGATATTCATTCAATTACCATTGCCATTGCTACTGTACATCGGGTACAAGGTTGATTGGTGCATCTAAGAATGAATGCTATAGAGAAACAAAAATGGTGGTAAAAAAAGAAGGCCCGAACCCGGGATCGAACCGGGGACCTCGCGCAGTCATGCAATGCTTTGGGTGAGCCCTAAGCGCGAATCATACCACTAGACCATCCGGGCAGTTGATATCATTATATGAAGTTTAAGATCTACATAAGGGGAACACTATTTCCTCCCATAATCTCTACAGACCTATCTACTTAATCTTCTTACCAATCTCTGAATGCCATCTGCGCACATTCTTAGTTCCTAGCTTTTGCCTCTTTAGTCATATCGGTCAGCCCTTTGAGAACTCTTAAGCTCGCTTCATATTTTCCAAGGCATCTCCTTTATGCCTTCATTCAGCCTCGCCAACGCAGAGCGAATCCGATTGTGATGTGAAGCAGCTATGGGGAGAATAGGCCGAGGGGGCGCTGCTTTGCAAAGGTCAAGCTCGTTAGCCAGTGCAAAAGCCACCTTGAGGTCACTTAGCTCTTCAAACAGGTCCCACATTGGCTGGAAAAGAGCCGAGATACGCCTCACTTCGATATCGTCTCCTTTGCGAATGGCAGCCATCAGCGCGACTGATGGTGCGGGGAGTACTCCCGCAATCACACTGTACCATGCAGAGCCTCCTGCCAAAAGCGAGTCAGCCACCAGCCAGTCCGCACTGTATCCGATAGAAAAGCCAGACGGAAGCTTTGCGCGAAGTGCTTCATGTCTTTCTGTCGCCTCAGAAGCGGGGGCGGGTTGCTTAAGCGCAACGACATTTGGCAGCCCTGCAATGCAAGCAAGAAGTGTGTCACTGAAGGTAAAGTGAGTCGTGCTCGGAGTATTGTAGATACAGAGGGGTAACGTGGTTGAACCAGTGACCGACTCGTAATGCTGGTAGACTTCCTCTTCACTCAACGGATTGTACGAGACAGGTGCAAGTAGCAGCCCATCGGCGCCCGCTTCTTCAGCATCCTTGGCCAATTGCTGTGCATCATCTGTACGAAGTGCACCAACAGAAACAATGAGTGGTTTTCTGCCTTGCAGAGTTTGTATGGCCGCGTCCAATGCCCGCTTGCGTTGTGCTCTTGTCAGATACATGTAGGTCCCCGTACTCCCCAGCAATCCAATCGAATCAACACCCGGAATATCTAGCCTCTCAATAATTCGACCGAGTGTGGCAGTATTGACGATGCCATGCGAATCCGTAGGAGTAATAGGAAACGCCACGAGGCCTTCAAAAATGTTCCGTGTATTTCTCATATTGAGACTTCTATCAATCGATGATCCGCGACTAAGCGATAGTGCACTCATAGTAGAATAAATGTTGTGTTTGGCCCGATGGCAAAGGGTCCTGTCTGTGAATTTATATAAAGGTATCAACTGCTTCACTGTGGCCGGAAGGGCGCCACCTTCGTAATCGAGATATATGCTTCTGGTTTGTACGTCCGTACTCCGCGTCAGCCGCCTCCGAGAAACCGGAACTCGATATAGGTGAGATACAGTAGAAGGCTCTAACTTACCATTCGGGCCTACTCTTTCGTTTCCGTCTCTACGTAATGTTATATTTGCACGACATTACGAATTATTTCACTAAACCACGGAAAGCTAAGGCAGAGATCATAGTCTTTGTCTCCACTTCATTCTCAATGACTCGACCGAATTGTGAAACCAATTTCTTCCTTCCTTGGGAATTGACGCATCTACCCAACAGCAGTAATGATCTAGACCAAACATTGGAGATACAAGCGGGTAGGCTGGAAGGGAAGGCCAGGCCGTAGAGCCTAGAATAACTGACTAACTGACCCCTGCGGAAACCTGCGGAATCACGCTGGCTGAAACCTACCAAACCTCCACCATGTCAAAGGCGGAAATATGCGGAATCGCACTAGCGGGAATCTACTCCAGAGTACTGAATCTATACTATGTCAAAGGCCAAATTTGTCTACAAGTAGCTAGGGGTTTATAGTGTAAAAGGGGTTTAGTACCCGATGTAATTCATTGACCAACGAAGTGTCTATCAAACATAGTACACTGGTGTTTCTCACGGAATAACGATTACCTGATATTCAAAATGTGGGGAGTAAAACTACCCGCAGGAACCCCCATTGTCACCGCGGTCTTTGGAATCCAACACGACCCTTCCAGGGACAACTCTACCCTCATAAACATCTTTGACAGCCTGATAGTCAACCAGCCCGCCCGCATTGAAAACCTCGAACAGGACAACCCCGTCCCAACCCGCGTCTGGCTCACATATTGGCCCTCCACCGCCGCGTATCAGAAATGGTGGACCAGTGAGCCTGTCGCCTCGTTCTGGGGCTCCCTCCCTGACGACGCCGGCGTGTACCGCGAGATTCTCACTATGCCGCCTGGCAAGACGCAACATGGAACGAGCATCACAGACCGTCCATCTGGCATGGCACCCTTGGGTAAATTCGAGTCAATTCTTGATAAATCGGGGTATTGGGGATGCTACTATGATCGGATGAGTGATGTCAATAAGAGGGAGAGTAAACTCCCCACTCCAGTCACCAAGAAGCCGACCAGGACACATCCATTGTCTATTACGCCCAGCACCGGCAGCAATCTGCCCATCCGCAGAGGAAGAATCCAACTTCCCACTCTACCGGATAACATAGCATTTGTGGTCGAGGGTCAAGACCACGGTCTTATCCTCCCAGAGGAAAAAGAGCACTGGCTCGAGAACTTCGACCAGCTAACAACAAATTGGATATGCGATCTAGTCGAAGCGGGCCCAGAAAAGGGGATTTTGGATTCGAGATTATGCTACCGCCCTGACAGTGGGACGTACAAGGACGCCGATTCCCCGCCGCGGGAGTTAAGCTTCAACGACAAGGTACAGCTGTTCTATTTCTTGGATATGGAGGCAATGCAAAAATTTGGGAGGGAGAATGCAGGGCATGTTAAGCTGCGACGCGAGTTCGCGCAGAGTTATGGGCCGAAGGGTGTGATGACTGAATTGCCTGGGCAGTTGCGCTTGTGGGTTGAGACTAGCATCTTGAAGGGGAAAGATATGGAGTGTGAGTATGTTGGATGTATTGAGGGGACGGGGTTGATGGGATTGAATTGGGGTTGACCGTTTGTGGGCATCCCACGTTGGTTATGTTGATGTGAAAGTTTTCAAAATTGGATGGTATCTTCTTGTATTATTTATGGTTATGTATTAGTATACGCGTGATTTTTGTATTTTAAGTTATTATCGAGTATAGGTGAAATGTTTTCTAGTTGCACATATATTCAGTTGTAAAAGTCGCAGGTTGGGTGTCGTCATTGGGATTAATGGGTTTGGCCGAGTTAGGGCAAGCTCCGATCGTCGGTTGATCGCTTCTGCAGTCCGCATCGGGCCGCTTTTAGATCCCGTTCAGTACACAACAACCACTTTGATCGCAAATGGCCGCTAAAGTCTCCAACCAACCCCGATCGGCGCCAGCAACCTAGTACTATTAAGAAATCTCAGCCGAGCAAAATAAAGGTTAGATGCTGGCTAAGCGAATATCCATTTGAGGATAGGGATTTAGCTCCTTGCAGCATTAGACTACTCTAGTGAATATAATTACTCACAATTTGGGTTGAATAACCTAGGAACATCCAATTTTGCTTGATATAACTAATCCCCTATTGATGGCCAATCGGCTCCATCCTCTTAATGCATATATGTTCTGTCTGTCCGCTCCTATTGTTATCTTCTATAATGAATCCTTTTCGTATTAATCGTACATGAAATCCATGCCAGGCACTCTTCATCCATTGGGCAACATGTCAATAAACTGACAAAGAGCTGGGTTGTGGAGCAGGTCTTAGGCAAACTCATTTCATGCCCGACCATGGAAACTCAAGATGAAGTTACTGACAAGTTTGACATTTCGTGACGCCTGCTGCCGCCATTCAGTCCTACGGCGATGCGCCAAATTATGAGCTGAAGCTGAATACGACTATTCCATCAAGGCTACCCTTCAGATGTCGTGTAAGGAGTCAGTTGTACCAGGTGGTGGAATTGTCCAGAGACGTGCAAACACGCAAGTCCTCGGACTGTCGAGCCACACCCACAGATGTCACTCAAGGATGTGCAATTAACATCTTTCCTGGACGACTGGCTGTAGTACCATCTTGGTGGGCAGTTTACTTATACGGAGCATGATACCGGCAGCAACGGCGATACTTGGGAGGAAACCTGCCAAGTCTGGTCTGTGTCAATGTCGAGTTCAGTTGTCTATCAATATGTGGTCGGTACCTCTTCACTGACAAGCGGGTCATGGCGAGTGCCCGACACAAACCCACGCAGCGTGGTTGTTACCAGCGCGAGGGACGAGACCCGCTTTTACCCTAGCATCCATGGGTCAAATGTGTATAAGTCCTTATGTGAAGTTGACAGCCAGTGGGTCCTCGCATGTAAGGCTGACGACGAGTTACTTGCCTAGCTTGTGTACCAAACCGAGCATACGTCTAAAGAGGCTGTGGAAGCATTTGGGAATGCCGCCAAGAAGGCGACAAAGTCATCCTTAACGTTTCTGAAGGATGTTGGCAAAGACATTTTCAAGCTCGCGTATGTTAAAAATCCTGTATCCAAGTGCAAGGTTACAAGGTTTGCCGGCTTAGGTCCAGCTAATCAGATCATAGAGCCAACCGCCCAAGACCAAGCGATGATACCGAGGATGACAGTGCCAGCAACAATAACAACACCTCGAAAAATGCATAAAAGGAAAACTTTCGTCCTGTTGGAAGATCACCCACCCTCACACTAAATTTCAATGTAATTAAGGTGGTTTTTCTGCATTAATCCTATCCTATGGGGACTGGGGTGCTCTAGTAGGGTGCCATTAGATTTCAGGGTCATGCGACTGTCAGATCTTCAAGAGTTATAATGGGATCTTTCTGTGGCTTTGATTTCAGCCCTGTTGTGTGATTTCTGAGGGTGTGGGAGATTAATGCAAATCGCGTGTTTTTGGGAATTCTTTTTGATGGGCTGAGGTGTCTACATTACAGTATTACAGTCACTATGGGAAGTAAGAAAGAGTTCAGAGCAGTAAAGTAGACTTTGTAAGGACACACAAATAATCTACATGTAAAATGAAGCCAAGATAACTTCTCAGCATTATTAACTCGTGCTACTGGATGATCTAACCTGACAAGGACTTCTTCCTTAACCAATATTAGAGTCACATTCAATATGAGTAGTACTATGATCAAGAACAGCTTGGTGAGAAAGGCTTCCCGCACTGTCCGACACTGAAATTGCGATAACTATAGTTCATACAGGCAGTCACTACTGTAGAAGTTAACACTGGTAGGAGCACAGTGAGTACCTAAATAAGGAATTTGGCACTTAGTTAACTAGTAGTTGATAAACTAAACACACAGGCTGTTAGTCTCACAATTTCCATAGTTGTAGTAACTATCAGATACAATGCCGCAGTACTAGAACCTGGTTTTCTCTCATATAGGCAGAGTTTGAAGAAATTCACATCCACCGCCCGGATGGTCTAGTGGTATGATTCGCGCTTAGGGAAAACCCAAGCATTGACTGCGCGAGGTCCCCGGTTCGATCCCGGGTTCGGGCCTATCTTTTTGCCCATCCACACACACAGGATGGTGTGCTACCTTCTATAGACCCAGTCAACTCCTAATAACCATCTCGACCTTTCTTGTATAGGGAATGACCCTCGCTTTTGCACTATACCCCTACTGCCTTCGGCTATTCCCAGCCCTTCATATCGATAACTGCAACGATCGACAGGTTTGACAAGTCTGACAGAGACAATCGAGGCCACAGTAGTAGTAGTAAACAAAGAACTAAGCGGCAATGAGACACAAACAACCAACTGCATGTACGGATCGGCAAGGGCGACGACGACCACAATACAAATACGAATTCACCATCAATCAGTCGAGATAACAGTAGAGGCCGAGATCGCGGTCGAACTGCAACTTTACAGTTTACTATGCCAGCTAGGAGTCGTTTTAGTACAGTTTTAACTGTCGTAAGGTCTTACGTAGCCCTAAGCCAAGAACTGCCGCTAAGGCTTCTGCTACATCAATTCTTATATGGCCTCATTTCTTAACAATGAATCAGCAATCAAACTCAATGCCGAGTTCTACTTCCGTGTTACAGCTGGCAGTTTATCCACATCTCAAGCTGCAGTTGACATTAAAGGAAGGGGGAAACTTCTGCATACTAGGTTCCGGAGTTTCAGACAATTCAACATCATTTAGAGTTAATTCCATCAAATTCACGGATTGCAGACTGCTTGTGGTATTGGCAGATATGTATCCAGTCTTTGCCGAGACTACAGGGATGTTACCTTCGAGGTCAAGCCCGACGTTGTTATTGGAGGTGCTTTAGGCTACACCTTGACGCTGTCGATAGTCTGGCTGGTGTCAGTATTGGCCCAAAGTTTCATTTATTGCCCCGAACTAACGCAGACTGGAGTTGAGACACATACTAGCATTGAATTTGCGACTCTGAAAGCTCAGTGGGACCACTGTGCATTAGCGTGCGGTGCACTATCGCGAGGCTAGTACTGGCTTCACTCCACGAGCTACGATCAGTTAGCTGTCGTGCAGCTAAGCTGCTCGTTACTAACACTCACAATTTGTGGCTGAAGCTGACTACTGATGCCTCTACTGACACCTCTACGGCGGCAACTTAGCGTACATTGACTCTAATCTCAATGGAAGTTGCATGCCGACACGCCTGTCACGCTTGCGAGGACCGTTTTATCTAAAAAGGTACAACAATATCTATAAACTGTCTGCCTTGTTTGATGGGCAAGCCGTACTCGTACTAAGCCGAGCAAGCGCTTGCATATTGACAATACTAGCGGTCCCGTTTCAATGCAAAAACTCAGAGGTTTCCGCTACTACGCCACCTTCATCGACGATGCTAGTGGATTTTGCTGCGTTTTTCTATTGAAGTCGAATGACGAGATTTTCGAGGTTTCTACCCAAGTGGCTAGATGCATATCCCAAGCGGGAAAAGATTACCGAGTCTAGTCCATACACAGCGACAAACACCGGCAAGCATATCGCAAAGGTTGAAGTATCGTTTGGGACCTAGCTAGCTCACACTCCGGAGCTGAATGGCGTTGCGGAAGTGCGTAATCGCTATCTTATCAAGTCCCTCGTCGGTGTTATGTTTGAAATGCAATTTCTAAACTCTCTTTGGCCTCAGCTATTAGTCGACGTTAACTTTTCGTCTAAGGAACTGTGAAGCTCAGGCGTCGATATAACGCCATACGCGGCCTTTCACGGTAAACGGCTAGATATCTCGCACCTTTGGCACTCGGCCATCCGTGCTGGTATATTCCTATGAAAGTGCGTAGATCTAAGCTTCACGAGTGTATGGTGGAGGCCCAGCTGCCTATGAATGAATGAATGGACAGCGAAATCAGGGTCATAGACCAGCGGACCACCCGAAGAAGTACCTTAATTACGGGATCATATTCTGACAACCCTAATGAGCAAGTCCTTCGACGCAATTTGCTCGATATATTAGTACAATGAGACAGAGGTATTTAAAATAATAAAAAAATGAAAAGATAGGCCCGAACCCGGGATCGAACCGGGGACCTCGCGCAGTCAATGCTTGGGTTTTCCCTAAGCGCGAATCATACCACTAGACCATCCGGGCGGTGGATGTGAATTTCTTTACACTCTGCCTATATGAGAGAAAGTCTAACAATTGCCGCCACACTCCCGCTCTTGGTTCAGGCCATGCATGATTTGCCTAGCCACACCGACCAGTTGAACCCGATATTCTACTCCGTAGATTAACATATACTCCATAGAATGGCTCGACGATCTATATCTAAACACTTTTTACTTGAACGTATACATTGCCTCTCTAATCTATCAAGTAGTGTATGTACTACTACTATCATCCCTCTAGTACCGCCCAACTATTGAACGCAAGATCTAAGATTTGCAGCGGTGAGTATACTAGTATGGTCACCATCAGGGAAGACATTATTTAGCTAGCATGCTGCTCTTTCTGCCCAAATATTGTAAAGCGGGTGGGTCGGTCGTACCGCTACTCTATCTCATTCCGATGTTCGCTGATCACGTAGTTGCACATACATTCCTACACTACCGGTTGGTACGGTCTTGTGGAAGAATGGAGAAATTGCCTGATTTCTCTAAGCCATGGCGAGCGGCTACCTAATATATGCACAAAGGATATGGGATCATGTGATAGGTAGGGGGTATCACCCCACTACAATATCAAGAGTCCTGTTTATCCTCATCCAATTTCGAGTCGCAAGATGCACAAGTCAACGCAGACCGAATAGACCATCACGAACCTGTGCACTAATAAAGGAATACACCTTCAGAAGACCTATTGCCTCCGCTTGGTTTTTCGCTGAAGCTGCAGGTGGAAGAATCGACTGCGGGATATCTCGTGGATCAATGTAGGCCATAATTGACAAATAGTCAGCCGCTAATCCATCGAGCTGCCAGATCTGTAAGAGATCCACCAGGTCGTCGCCACTAGGTTCTAGAGCGACCATCACCTTGGAACCCCTCGCTTAGCATTTCAATTCTGCTTCTCTCTTGCTCACCTAACAACGACAACATAACCTAGCCATACGCCAGTCTAGCAAAATGGGTGAAGCTGCCGGAAGAATCGCTGGGGAAATTCTACGAGCAAGAGCTCCCCAAGATTTCGAGACCGATCGTGACATGCGACTCCGCCCCTCATGTGACCTAGATGAGCACAGCGATCCTGCAAGAATTCGGCCGGTTACGGAGGAGGGAGTGGAGCACCGGTCTCCAGGGCCTCAAGGGGTACACCACCTTGTATATCATCAGCCGCAAGGCAGTATATGCGACCCACAGGTGGGAGAATATCTCCTTCGACCCGGAAATAGAATGCGGGACCCGCCGACCCAAACAAACGCTGAACTGTTCAAGCTCACTGTCACTGATATACTGAGAGACGGGGGAAATACCACAGGAAACTCGACGCCGACCTGATCGAGAACGACTACGTCCACGCTTATCTTATCTACCCAGCCAAGGTTTTCCGGCAGTTGGCAGCAGATCCAAGTGCTGCCGACTACACCATACAGTGGAATCAGATCCGTGACACTGTCGGCGAGCTGGTGCCCATGCTGCAAGACCAATCACGCTGGACAGACATTGCGTACAAGACGGTGGAAGAAGATTCAGAACTCTTCTTAGAAGATACAGTCAGAGGAAGGAATCTCTTCAAATACGACCGAGCCTAGGACATTGGGGGAGGGGGGTGCAAACGCAGCAATGGGCTATGTTGTGGGTTGAAGACCGGAACTACCACAAGGACAAATGGCGAGCCATATGCGGGATCTGGTGTGATCAACAACTGTTGGCAATTGTCTATATTTTATTGTCGTCTCATGTATAATATATCCCAAGGAGAAGTCATCAAAAACCGACATAGTACAACGGAACGGATCCTGGCGAATCAGAGGTAGAAAGGAGGACAGGAATAACAGGCACTTGGAGCATTCAGGACAATTAGTTACGCTACAGCAAGCTGAAGTATACTCCGTAAAAAGGAATAGTATCTGACTGCTTGTAAGACTGAAGGAGCTTATATTTCCTGTATAGCCAACCTACTACCCTGCTCTACTACCGCGAAACAAGCTATTAACCGCAGTAGATCTAGTTAGGAGACAACTTGGTACGACTTCGTGTTCGGCTGCTAATCCTATTCTGAGAAATATCCCCTATCGGAGTATTCGTAACAGCAGTATGCTGGGTATTAGTTTTCTGTCTCTTGCTATGGGCTCTGTAGTATCCCCGGCGCTTGGCTTCTCTGTATCAGCTTGTACCGAGTTTGTTGCCTGCTTATGCTTGATCAGCTTTTTCGACAAAGCGGTTGTAGAATTAGTGTGACTAATTTCTGCAGCTACAAGGAGTTTGAGTATACTCTGATACTTGGCCTGGCTGCTGGGATCCTTGACCCGTATGAGTAACTCTGCTACTTCTGCAGGGCTTCGGTCACGGAATTGTTTGCACCCCAGTTGTGCCGTAGGATCTGCGCCCGCGTCTAGTAGTATTTGAACCAGGTTCTCCATAGCGAGACAGACAGCGCAGTGTAAAGGCGTGCCCCAGTCCGCGGAGGTCGTGTTCGGGTCGAGACCTTTGGCAAGAAGGGAATCTAGTTTTGAACACTGTACTCGACCTGCTCCAACAAATAGCGGAAAAGAAGAGACTGGATTCTACCTTAGCGCCGTATTCGACGAGCAGGTCGAACAAAGCTCCGTTGTCTTTATAGGCCTGTTCAAGAGCGCTGGCCAGGGGTTTTGTCTTCTTCGGGCCGCAACGGTTGGGGTCAACGCCTCGCTCCAGTAACTCGCGAGCACAGGCAGCATTCAAAAAGCTATATTCCCTAGAAGTTAGTCTTGCAATCAGAGATTAACTCAACTGGCCATCAACGTACCGGAGAAGAGGCTCGCCGAGGGACGTGGTACATTTTCTAGGTTTCAGGCCACGGTCAAAGTAGAGGCGAATTATACGCGGGTCCTGATGGTCTTCCTTCCCGCAAAGAGAGCCTACTGCCCCGGGTGTTATGGGCACGCCGGCATCGAAGAGCGCCGTCACGATATCCAGATGTGCCGCTTGGGTGGCGAGACTGAGTCCGTTGTTAAGAGGCTCAGCAGAGAGTCGCCCGCTGGCGAGGGCCTCCCGGACTTTCGGCAGATCACCATTGCTACACGCAACATGAAATGCGTTGATATAAGCTGTATCCGCGCTGCCGGGTGGCATAGCGTAAACAAGACAAGAGATTTGAATGGGAATGGGGGTATGTACTGCAGAGAAGTTGGAGGCTTGGAGCTTCGAGGACAAATTTATACGAGTAAATGGCAGGCGGTGGCGAAAGCAGAAAGCGAGACAAAGGCCAATACGTACAGTTGTAGACTTGTAGTAGCCTTTTGATATAGAAAGGTCAAGATACCATTCAGAGCGGATCTGGCCCGTTGACATTATTAGTCTCAGCACTTAGCCGAAGGTACCAAGTACTTACGGAGTACATCAGTCAATAATGACCTGAATTCTACTTTACTGACCCCCTTTTCCTGAGATGCAGTCGGTGATCTTATATTGTCCCATTTCTCCCAATGTACTACTTGTATAGCGCATACTATGACACTGCGATGTTGCCCTCGCTACGAGCTTCAGCCGAGAAATCTCTCCGACCCAGGCGTCTATGGAGGAGGAGCCAGGAAGAAAACGAGTCTGTACTGCGCGAGATTAACATTATAAGATGTAACCTGGTATCTTGTTGGTAAGGGATAGAGAATTACTGGAAGAATTATTTTGTCTTCTCTGACCCTAAAGGCTGGCCCTTGTCTATATTGTACCAACCTAGTGGTATCTATTTTATGCAGGAATCAGCAGGAAACATACGTCCAGTGCCAAAAAGTCTCCCTTGAGCAGAGTGTACTAAGGGTTAGAGATAGATTTGTGCCATTGACGCTCAAGAAGACACAGTTAAAGGGGATATCTTGAAGGTAGGTTTTGCACTCTGGTTGGCTCACTACAGAGTACTAGTAACTAGAATCTAGATTATCTGCATTTGATGTTATACCAATGTGAAGTATAGGAGGCCAGGGGTTAACATTTCTGGGCAGTCTATTACAGACTTCGAGGGGAAACGCACAATGCCTCTATGTGAGCCTGGAAATCTTGTCCTTCGCCATTTTAGCATCAGTGTGGTGTGTCATTGTGGGCCGAGATGTGTGAACACTGCTATATTTTTTGTATCTAAGAACTCAAAGAGCCTGCTGTAGTAAGCCCTTTTCTTTATTCACCTGCCTTCTTCATTTCTTTGCCTCTGCCTCATCTCCATCTGCTTCGATATCCCTCCTCCTGTGCATCGCATTCTACCTTCGTATCTCGGGTTCGTTCATCACATCAAACTACAGCGGCAGCCAAGATATCGTGCCCTAAGATGTCTGCCCTATGTCCTCTGCGCTCCCACGCGTCTGAAAATAGCATATTTTCCTCGGAAAGCGGACCATCTCGATTCTTGACACTATCAACATTCTTGATGTCTTTCAGGACGGGTGGAGAGAGGCGATCCCGCTTAAGAAGATGCACAAGAAAGATCTACAGCGTATTTCGCTGATTCTTCCATTTTGGGTCCTTCTAAATCCGCGATGCCTTTTGCAAACATCAGGAACTGGTCGATGGCTGATTGAGTGTCAAAGATTATTCACAACAACACACAATTCATACATGTCCAGCGTGCCCTTAACAACGAGATTCTTAGTCACCTTCGCTAAGCTAAGAAAGGAAACCCTCGGCTAGAGGGCATCAATCACGGCGACGTCTTGAAAAGTCTTAAACGCCCTAAGCCTTACTATGATCTGTGATGCAGACGTCATGGGACTGGGGCTCGTTTTTGGATCTGATGGGTTCCTTTGCGGAACAAGAGATACCGATGTAAGAACTACAGAGGCGTTCTCTATTACACCTGTCCTTACCTATGAGACAAACACCTATGCTACCCAGGTTAGAGGCGACGCCTACTCCACAGGAGGATACTAGTGATGCCAATATGAAAGGTTCCGATGAGCACAGCCTTTCTGTTGCTGGATCAGCCTCGGATAACAATATTGAGCCTAGCAGCGTCCCCATTGTTACAGGTAGCACCACCTGTGGATGCAAGGCCCCGAGGAGCCTAGTGTGACAGCTAACCTATTCCAATGAGCCTCTTGGCTATAGAGATGCAGCATTCCTGCTAAGGTAGGAAGAAATCTAGAGGGTTTTCGCAGGCGGAATCCATGCTTCCAACATACCAGATATCTTTGCATTCAAATCAACGGGCACTCTGTGAGCAAACCATCAAGATTTGTTCGACTGCCTTGCCTGGGTTTACAGATTCAACTTAACTCTTGATGTGGCTCCATATGCGAGGACGCTCTTCCGGTTCAGAAGATGATCTACGTGTCCATCGGCTGTCATGCCAGAAGATCGGACCACTACTAGCCAACTTTGACGCTGCACAATAGCTTTGCTAAAGTATTCAGGAGGCGCCTGGGCAGAGTACTATGTGAGAACGAAGAACATGTCCCATCTGCTATGGACAACCAGGGCACTGTTACGATTCTAGGGCTGTGGAGTTGGCTAGAAAAGGATCTGGATGACCCCCATCGTCAAGGGCTATGACCTTTTATTCACCAATATATGGTGAATAAGAAAGAATAGGTTCACTAGAAAAAATCATATCCGTTCGAAAAAGAAGGGAAAATAGACAAAAAAATATTCAGACAAAAAGAGAACATCGCCCCGCAGGAGGCTCGAACTCCTGACATCCAGATTGCAGCAAGGCTTTTGCTTTAAAAGTCTGGCGCTCTAGCCAACTGAGCTAGCGGGGCTTGTTATGGCCATTTGGATGCGCAGAATTATATAGTATACTTCAGTTTTTCTAGATGTCTTTCGAGTTCGTTTGAAAGGCGCGGAGATAACAGGAAGTTATTTATCGGGCCAAATAAGTTAATTTGCGCGCCGTCCTCCGGCGCTTAGGCGCACGCGCATTCCCCAGAACAGAGCCCTCAACACATCACCACAACCAGCTCGGTACCTTTTCCACAAGAAATGCGAACATGGCGGCGAACCTTCGCTACGTCTGTTGCCAGACTGAGCCATAAACCTGCAAGCCAGGGCGTCGGCCCCACGCTCTTACGATGCGCACAAGTCCTTGAGCAAAGCAAGAATGGACCCTGCAGTTTGGAAGATCAAGAGATCAAGTTGAATGGGTTCATTCGCTCCGTCCGAAAGCAGAAACGCTTTGCGTTCGCCGAGATCACAGACGGGTCTACAATTGAGCCTTTACAGGCCTTTTTGAGGCCAGCACAGGCTGCCGAGTACGTCCGCCTTCCTACTGAGCTTGACCACCCTTGATTTATTCCGAAGCACTGGGCTCTAATCAATGTATCTCTAGTCTGTCTACTGGAACTGCTGTGGAAATATCTGGAATTTGGAAGGCTTGCCCACCGGGCAAGGAGCAAACCCATGAGCTTCAAACAACAGACGTGAATGTTCTTGGGAGTGCAGACCCTGAGGTAGACGAGGCCTTCTGGAGATTATACAAACGACCCGAAGGGCGATGCAGCTAACTATCATAATACGAACAGACCTACCCTATCCAGAAAAAGTACCACAGCCCCGACTTCCTTCGTCAGATTCCCCACCTCCGCATGCGCACACCATTCAACTCCCTCCTCTCGCGGTTCAGATCCGAATGCATGTACCAGCTAGGAAATGTGTTTCGCTTCGCCCCGAACGGGGGCTACGTTCAAGTCCACCCACCGTTGATCACGTCGTCGGATTGCGAAGGTGCTGGGGAGACATTCACGGTTCTGCCGCGGGAAGCTATGGGGACACAGTCGGAGGGCGAGCATTTCTTCCGGGCACCCAAATACCTAACGGTGTCGTCGCAGCTCCACCTTGAGGCCTACGCGGCAGAGTTAGGAAATGTATGGACGATATCGCCCATGTTCCGGGCCGAGAAGAGCGATACGCCGCGCCATCTTAGCGAGTTCTACATGCTGGAGGCGGAGATGAATTACATGCATGACTTAGACTCGCTGACCGACTCCGTAGAGTACATTCTCCGTGACCTGGTTCGTCGGTTACATGACACACCTGTTGGCCAGGAGATCTTGTCCGCAAAGCGGTCGGGCGAGTCCGGTCAAGATCAAACTGAAGGATCCAGTGCTGATCTAAGCCAACGATGGAATGATATGATGGAGGGACCCAAGTGGGGTCGTATGACCTACACACAAGCAATTGAAAAGCTCCAGGACGCAGTCGCCAAGGGACAAGCCACCTTTGAACATGCACCCGAATGGACCGGCGGTCTCCAGCTGGAGCACGAGAAGTACATCGTCGACGTGATTCACAACGGCCGCCCTGTGTTCGTGACCGACTACCCTAAGGCTGTCAAGCCATTCTACATGCTGCCATCCAGTGGGGACGGCTCCGCAGCACCAGGCGAAACAGTCGCATGCTTTGATCTCCTCCTCCCAGAGGTTAGCGAAGTTGCAGGGGGCTCGCTCCGCGAGCACCGCCTCCCCGAAATCATCCAGAACATGCGCGAGCACGGGCTGATCAAGGCCCGCGCACCGCCCGCTCCGGGTGCGGAAACGGAAGCGGGAACACAAGCCGATTCCGAGACGCCGATGTACCCTCACCTCTTGCCCGGCGAAGACCTGGGCCATCTCCAGTGGTATGCGGATCTTCGACGGTGGGGAACTGCGCCTCATGGAGGATTTGGTCTCGGCTTTGACCGATTCCTGGGATACCTAGCCGGCGTCTCCAGCATCCGGGACGTGGTATCTTTCCCTCGGTATTTTGGCAGGGCGGACTGCTGATCTGTAAATAATGTATCTTACTCTACTCTACCCTGAAATGTACACTAGATAGACATGTACGATGGTCAATATCAACCGCTCGTCCCCAGTAGTAGTTTCACCCAAGCAACTCCAGTCGAGGAGAGTCTGCGAGACGTAGTCCTACTAGAAGACCGAGGCGAGACCTACCTAGGGTACTGCGCAAACTGTACTGGTCAGTATATACTACGGCTATCAACGGAGATCATTATTCACTCCAACGGCATAGCCTAGCCAAGACCCCTACTTACAAAAACTAACCAGATAGGGGCAATACAATGCAACTAGGATATAATAGAAAACCAAAAAAAAACGCAAAAAGATCGAGCGACGCAGGGATCGAACCTGCAATCTCTAGAGCCGAAATCTAGCGCCTTACCATTAGGCCAGCCGCCCTATCATGTCGTCATAGCTCGGTTTTAGTATCTATATACAAAAATGTGCAAAACAAAACTGGGACTATGAACCAGAGTTTGTATCTTGTAAGTGGGTATGGAGGAGTTCTAGGATGCTGTTGGGTTGATGTTGGGTGGTTAATTACTTTATACGTAGAGCGGGTCTTATGGTTGTGGAATATGGAGTACTCGAGCATAACCCATATTGGGTGTTTGAAGGACGGTTGTTCCTAAATATATAGTTGCAATCATCTCAATGGAGAGGGGGTGTTGAGAAAGACAGGTCCTCTTGACGAACCTACTAGTAAATTCGAATGGCTGCGGTCGAGACGTGAGATCTATATGCCCATGACATGTCAATACCCGGAATATGGGAATATGGAGCTTTTTTTTTTTTTTTTTTTGTTAATGCCCAAGAGACTACCTTGGCTCTCTATGTACACAGTATCCGCCTATACTATACATATGCGACTGGCTTTTTAACACTTTTATATAAGGCTTACATAAACATATATAATGAGTAACTACCAAGATAATGCACAGTTGAGTAGTTCGGACTAAATTCACCGATAGGTGTTTTAACTGACTGATACGGGTGGCGCACCTCGGGGAGTAACGAGGAGAGCCATATACCATGCAAGAGATCCAGGCACGTATGTTTTTAGGCATAAAATAGATTACATGAAGGCAAGATTAAGCTTGTATTGTGAAAAAGACCAACACCCTCAATAGCAAACAGGGCCATCGACTGTTCGACTGTTCGATAGAGTATATTGTATGGGTAAGGGCTTGAGTTATCATTTTCCTTTTGTACCCTACAAGGTAGCTATGACAAGACCCAAGCTCTCCTACATGGCTGCTGTTACTCTATTCCATGAAGGAGGTCGATAAGCTTCCCCTCACCGTCACTAGGTCCCTTCCATACCAAGATATTCAATTGTGCACCCTTTTTGGTATGGTCCAGGAGGGCTCATAGATGGGCAAGATGCAAGGACACGACACACCCAACGAGGTTGAATTTGAAGTACTTGAAGAACCCGGGCGGCTTAATATTGTATCGACTAGATGGCAACATGCATCCCAGTCACATCCTAGTGATTATTGTTGGCAAGTCTAGCAAAGAGCTTGTCTGCAACGGTACCGGTAGCAATGCTGAGCTGGAGAATCACGGTAGTGAGGAGCATACCATTGTCGGTGCAGGCGTCCTATTCAGGACATGCGGGCACTACCTTACACACCATAACCTCATGCTCTATTCACATCGGAAATATGCCAACCTGCATCCTATCTCTCCCGTGACTATAGTTTCTAGAAGCAGATATCTGTGCTGCGGCACCAGCAGCCAGAAATGTATATCCCATGCACAGCAGCAGGGGATACCGAGATCGAACCTAATGCGGCGAGATAGCTACTCTATTAACCATTGGCATGAATGTCGTAGATCTTGCCAATATTGATGTGGTGTATAAGGTGAGAATCAATTTGCTATATGTGTATATGGTTACATAGGACTGCTCCATAAGTGCTTATATCTTGCTGAGTTGGCGGGGATTCCAACACAGCGTGGCTATTGTTCCGCTGAAGAAACCGTGCTTGAGAATTGCACTCTTCTACATTTGTGGGCAACAAAGGTGGTGTATGCGTGGATTCACACTCGTCACTGCCCACACTGTTGCTGTAATCGATTGAGTTCAAAAATGAGTTAAATCAGCCATGGGATGACCCAAGAGCCTCAGTAATGGAGAATAAGGTAGAAGACCAGGAATTATCATTCTTAGGCGCTTCATTGGCTCTTCTGGGACTTCGTTGAGTACCTGTCTGTAGTGATGGGGCGTATGCTCAGCAAATTAGTGCGGGGAGCTGATATCGGCCCTTCATTTCCATGTCTATATCTTTTGCAATAATGAGAATCTATCAGCGGCTGGAATAGGTCAAAGAGGGTACTTAGCTAAGGATATTGCAAACAAAAGTGACTTACCCACACTGGCAATGTACCTCGTCCAACTTGTTTCCTGTTTGATACGGAGAAGGTCATATATATCAATAAGGTCGAAGCTCATAAGATACATCCCCGGTCAATAAATCAGGATTATAGTGATATTGTGTCCAAAACGCACATTCTTAAATCCTCGGTGTAAACGATCTAGAAGTTCTACCAGGTTACCAGATCAATAACGTTGTGCAGATGACACTTGGTCAGATGATATCACAGATGGAGACACAGCATTTCATGCATGTACATACTACCCTGTAGTACTATGGTTAATGCCAGCAAGGCCAGACAGATGCCCAGGGCATCCCATCACCTGACTACTCTGTAAATCGACAGTGCCCGGACGCCATTGCACATACTCGTCACATCCTGTCTGGATTTATGGAATGGAAGGTACTGTAATCCTTGATACTCTTCGACTAGTGCCAATCCATGCACCTGCACTTGGCAACTCGTTTGCGACCCGCAGATGAAGGCCTAGCTCGACGGGAACTACTTATGCAGAGGAGTAAGGCATATGCAATAAACAAGGGGGAGTCTTGTAGTTCAACATTAGGTATGTATTTTTATGGGGTAATATAGTTCCGTACTTGTACATATTGTAAATTTACTATTCCACTTTCAAGAGGGAACACCGTCGACCCTCTGCGAACAATACGAGCTGGATATATCAAGATACTCTTGAGATTCGTCTTCTTTGGACCATGGGATAGTGGTGTGCGAAGGAGTTTCACCTCCACAGGTACAGTATATAGATGTATATTAATGAGGGGTGTACGTTGTTCCTTCAATATCATTCAATGTAAACGCTAAGATACCCTCATCTCCACTAAAAGGCAACACGAACTTTCAAAATTCAAAATCTCCTTTCCCAATTTAGCAGTCAATTAAGCGGCATACTATCCCCGCCTACATATACGACCGGCAGCAAGTCTCATGACATGACCACCATGAAAACAGTACTACATCTATAGCGATAATACATATGAGACATTGTTTATACCCCATCACTGGCCCAAGGCACTATGGATTCCCCTATAAATTTGAAACAAGACCGGGGCCGTAGCGAGATTTGACACAGCTCCACTTTGTATCCTTTTCACGAACCCCTTTCGATAACGTATAGTGCTAGCAGCCCTATAAATTAACTAGATATACAGGAGGAGGACCGGGGAGGAGTCCACTTGTATAGGGCATGGGTTGAGGAGCAGGGATTGGCTACTTTAATTAGAGCCGGGCATAACGAGAGGACGTTGTAGTTCATAATATAGACAAGTTATACTATTATTATACATTGTAATTTTGTTTAGCGCCGAGACACATGTGGATTCGGGAAGAGGGCACAAAGAAGAGATCGAGAGAGAAACGTAATAGAATCTAAGCCTCCCCTGCTCTCTACGTGAGGAATGTCTATGAAAGAAAGTCAAAAAAAAAGTAAAAGCAAATCAAAAATGTATATGTCGAAGGGGATGCATGAACGGAGGTTCCTCCGTCTGAACCCTGAACAGAGTCTCGATGTGGTATGTACAGTGATGTCAAGCTTCAGCGGGAAGGCAATACTAGGACCGGTCCAAAAACCCTAATACTTTCTTTTGTTTAGAGTCAGTCGATCGCTCAGGTTACCCCTTGCGGCAGGAAGCGACGTATCCAACGGATCTCCTAAGTCCGAAAACAGCGCCCAAGGGGGTGGTGGTGAAAAAAAAAAAAAAATTAAAAAAAGGAAAAATCCTCTGGCCCCATCCCATCCCTGGACGAGAATGTAACTCTACTCGGCAGAACAAGGCAACACATGAAGGGGAGTCCACCCCGTCGGCGGTGACGGAATCGAGTCCGATACGATTCTGGAAAGGGTTATATTGAAGAGAAAATAGGAATCATGAACCACATTTTCCCCTGAGTGGATCATCCGGAGGACCCGGAGTTCTTTTCATCATTCGATTGCGGATTCTGGAAGCTCTCCTTGTGTGAGGTCTGTGTCTCCCACAGACTCTCTCTCCCTCCCTCACTGTACCGGAGGTATCCATGTGTCTCTAGTCTTGGGGCCAGGTCTCGGCTATGGCGGAAAAAAAAGGCGAAGGTCCGGAGGATCCAATAAGACAGAGATATTACCTAACCGCTGGATTACAGCTTTATCTAAAAGAAGCAGGAACACCAGACCCGGCGTATGCTGACTGGTTCCATCGGATACTTTAATACCTCCAAGCTGCGGTCTGGGCGGAGCCTCGCCTACAAGCCCCGATACCATTGGGCTGCCGGCGATCCACCTCGCTTTGGCGACGGTCGGACGAGGAATCACGTCCGACTTGGTTCAACTGGCCTGAGACTCCATTTGCTGAAATTGGGAAGAGGCGAGAAGGGATATCTTGTTCTCTTTAGTATGCACTCAACATATTCCACCATGATTCCTTGTTACATCCTGGCCAGCATGTTTTCCACTGAAAAACTTCTATATTCGAACACCGAGGAGGACCATATTCTTCTTCCTTCCCCCTAGATTACGAAACGAAACATTCCGATTGTCCGGAAATTCCGTCCAATTTCATAGGGAATGCTGCGGAGGATCGCACGCGGGGAAAACTGCCAAGTTGCCAACCTTACTGGTGTTAAGCATATCATGTCGGCCTTTTTCCGGCGTCCGTTGGCGATGACACTGCCTAGAAGTGCCGGTGGGCTCGTATTTCCCTCGTATCGGACGTATCATGGCTAATCCTCGGCATGCTGAGTCATATTTTATTCTTTCCTTGCCTTTTGCCTGTCCTTGTTGAGGCCACTTGTACACTTTGATGTACACAATCCTGGGTGAAAACGAGTTTTTATGAAAACTTTCTTCTGGGTTCATTTTAATTTCTCTTGATTAATCAATCAATCAATGTTCCCGATCGCTGTGAATTACCTAATCGGTCTGTTCGATCCGTGGAAAAGCCTATCAGACCTCCCGTATTTCTCGGTCTTTAATAACAATGGAGGCCGTCACAATCCAATATAGTACCAACTTCGCATCAAATACGAAGCGAGCTTCCCCATCTTCATTTTTATTAATTAAAAAAGCCAAACCAAGCCACATGATATCAATCATTCCCAGGAAGGTCTGCAAACTATACACATGTATATATACGCCCAGGTATACTCCGTACATTCAATTCTGAATATTTAAATTCAATCCCCCCTCTGGGTGTACATACTTACCTAGGTACATACATACATACATACATACGTACAGTACATATACATACATGCATGCAAGCATGGATACAACAGCGGATCCCCTCGGAAATACAAGAGGCAAGACAACGGAGGTAAACTAGTCGGATTAGTCCTTCAGCCACACTAGGCTAAGCCTTGGCTATCTGAATGTTGGGGATCCAGTCAAAACTCTCGTGTTTTTTTATTTTATTTTATTTTATTTTATTTTATTTTGTTTTACTCTCATCCCTCTTCGTTTAGACGGCGGGGATAGGCTTGGCTCTGCAGCGCTTTGACGCTTGGTATTAGGGCCAGGATAGGGATCCTCGGGCCTTGTTTTCGATTTTTAATTATGGAGGGGGGGGTTGTACTGTACCTCACTGGACTGGATTTCTGGTAGGTTGTTCTTTGTTAGGGGGGACTAGTTACCTAGTTCTTGAGACTATATGGACTAAGAGTGTGGCAACGGTGGGTGCCGAGAGCTGGGGCCTCCTCCGTAGTAGTCTTTACTGACGGAGTACAGAGGACTGTGTCCTTCCTATCCAGAAAGCAAAAAAGAAAATAATTCTATTAAAAAGTACATCGAGTATCATAAAATGAAAATCCAGTCAGGTGGGATAGACGAAACTATCTTCTTCCGTACCTTAACCTAATTCAACAGACTATCTGTGATCGATCATCATGCAAATGGGAATGAGGGGATGATCCTCTCAAAGTTATCTATGTCGGGCAGTTGATCTACAACTACCCCGAAAGTAACCAGTCACGGTGACAGGAAGAGGGATCCCCATGCATTCCTGATTTCAGGTTTATTGGGGAGGGAGTTACTCGGTTTAGATTACACACACACACGCGCGTGCGCGCGCACCAAACACCGCACAAATTTCCCTCCCCGGGCAATTGTGGAAATCCCTCCCCCCCTCTCTCCATGCTTTGAGCGAATAAGGAACTGAATTGTGAATGAAAGAAAGTCGAGCTTCTCAGGTAGAGGACTATTTGACCTTACCTTAAACTGATTATGCTAGTGGAGATAAACCCGTGCAACGTTTCACACACAGGCCTGCTTGGCAACTTTGATTCCAATCAAGGGTTGCATTGCAGTGGCATGCATTAAATGCTATCTACAGGTCTCAGATGGGTGTGACTAAATCCTCGTGCGACCTGATAGGAAGCAAGGGGATCCTCAAGGGGGAAAAGTTGCGAGAGGATCAGGGGTGAACGAAGGTATGTCCTCCAGGCTGCACCTGAGTATACCATGTACAACTGGGTGGATGATGCTAAAATCGTGGATGTACCTAGTTACCTAGGTAGTATGGTAGTAGTAATTTAGTCATTGAAGTCATGAATAGTCTCGGCTTCATCGGCACTTGAATCATGTGTTAAGTCCGATCGGTCCCGTAACAATGTACAATACTACCCATACATACCTACAACCCTATCCTCCCAGGTACTCAAGTCCGGACAGGAGATAGTAATAACTCTCATATTAATATTGACCATGGCACCGTAGCTTAGTGTAGAGCTAAGTTACATTCGAGGGGGACAAAGCTTAGTTGTCTTTGTTGGCTGATAGTGTGGCACATACTTGCAGGGATGCTCTCGCGAGGCTCAGGCTAAATCAACGGAGTGAACCAGGTGGAATCCCGGACGACCGTCAACCCCCTATCACAACGACGTACTAGGATTATCTTGCTGGAAGGGTGTAAGTAGCACCGAAGTATCGAAGCCTTTGTGCTTTTGTACCACCGCCCGCGACGAGGAAGTGTGATATCAGTCCGTGTCGGTACCGGATGTACCTTGCTTGGACCGTCACTCTCTCAGAGTATCGACAGGCATTCTGCAGGTGATATGTACGCTCCGCCGCCATACCCGCGAGAGGAACTGATAAATAAGAGTTTTGTTGGTGGCTCTTACAAAAGCTACCGTGCAACGCTGCTGTGGCATGTCCACCATTACTGCTTAGGGCTACACAATTTGCTGCAAAACCCTAGGCCTGACCTGCAATGATCAGCATTATCACTCTCAGTGCAGATGTGATTGAGGTGACCTCTCCTTCACGCCTAGCCGTATTACAAATTTTATGCTTGAAACCACTACTTGTTTTCACCGTTCAGCCATGTGAGACATCAGCTGCAAAGCGACACCTGTTCTCCTGACTCCCAACCACCCTCGCCGACGCTGCTTGGCTTCAAGTAATCTCGTCGTCTTTAAGTGGACCGGCCAAGGAGCCAAGAGAATTGGTTACCATTCAACTGACGTTGCTGGCGATACGCTTATCGTGAGCACTAGCGTCATTGTAACTTGCATACAAGTGATTAGGCGATGTTATTTTTGAGTATTATAATTAATTATTCGTTTTTCTTTGGCTTTTGGGGACCTCGGTTTTATGGTAGCCTGAGCGGCAGTGCCGGATGTTCAATGTTGAATGGGGCAACCAACCAATATCAGATCAATCAATCATATTCGTCACAGAACAGAAATAGGTTAGGGTAGGCTGTGTAGAAGTAACCTCGGGTTATTAATGCATTGATTCTCATTCTAAAATCCTTTGAAAAAAAATTTTTTTAAACAAAAAAAAAGGAATTAATAAAATTAAAAATAAAAGGAAAAGGAAAAGCCTAGTCATACATCTCATATCTCATTATATATGTACAAGAGCAAGCTGATGTACAGCACAAGCCCCCAATCCGTACTATGTATAGTAAATAAGCAAGGCCAAAGCTCGATCCTTCGACTGCGCCCGCCAACTTTATCTGGCGACTCCGATCAACGTGACTGGACAATAACTTCCGGGACTATGGTATCCGTAGTCCGCATCACAGTATTAGCAATCCAAGAAGGAAAGCCTTATGAGAGAATTGTCAATATGGTTAAATGATGGGTAAAACAGCCGGGTTTTCCGGTCTGTGCCTTACGTGGCATTGGGTTGCATATGACTGCTCACCTTGCCTCGCCCGAATCAAGGTCTAAAATACAAAGAAAACAAGAAAAAAAACCTCTATGCTCGTAAAGTTAAGGCATCTTCAATGGGTTGGTGTTTGTTTTGTTTTTCTGTTTCTAATAAAGTACCCTTCCTCTTCGGGGGTTGGATAAGATTCGTCAAGCTTCTAATAGTTTGATTACGATTAGGTGCTAGACTATGTATGGACATACATCATCGTACAGATACAAAGGACCTGTCGGAGGAGAGGGGAGGGGAATGGATTAAATGAGCCCGCCACTAGCCGTGGACGATGAACATGCAGGTGGGTTTGAATTCTCAGCTAGGCAGGTGTCTAAATTCGATACTATATTGGAGTCCCATCGAGGAGTTACCCAAAGAGGCCACCGTCACGGGCGGATAATTTATTTTAGGTTGATGTTCGCTCTGTGCACACAGCTAAGATCCCTGTTTCATGGCTAGTTTCAGGTGGACAAATTATAGGAGTTGGAGTTGGAGTCCGAACACCTTCCAGTTCCATTGTACTCCGGAGTAGTTTGGTCGAGCTAGTGTGCACTTTTTTGAGTTATAAATTACCTATCCTCTATAGTAGTCGACTGACATTAGCCCTATCCTATCAGATTCATTGACGTGGGGGTTATCGGCTTCTCTTTCTTCTTTCCTTGTGATTTATTATTTGTTGAGGAAGGTAAAGGCAACACCCGACTTCACGACATCATATAGTACAAAGAGTATCATCAACTTGATAAACTCTCCAAATCCTGTGGCTTGGGCAATTACGAATACGAATATAATCGCCACGGTGGCTGCTGTCATCTGCCGGGCTCCGGAGCCGAAAAGAGAAAAAGCACAGCATCTTAACCATATATTAGATTAAAGTGTGTTGCATCGAAGGCGGCGACCATTTGGATATTTGGCCGGTTTTTTTTCTGATTTGGTCGTATTATTTTATTTTTCTCTGTTCCAAATTAGAGTCCGCCGTGGACGGCAAAACGGCAAAGCCAATGTCGTCAGCCTTGGCCATTGAAGGGTCACTTTCGGGCTGAACCGCTGCACAACCCCGGGGAGAGTTTAACCCTATTTGCATAACTGCATAATTTGACGGATTGGGAGTCGGCGATTGGCTAGGTGGGGTGATACATAAGAGTAGCATAATCAAACCCAAGGATTGTCGATTAAAAATTGAAACCCAAAGGCCACCTCCATTTGGAACAAGTGGAACCCCGAGGGGGGCCTCTTTTCTAAGCGAGCTTAAGGTTCCTCGTGTTGGATTAAGCTTAAGCTTCAGAAAGTCGCGTACTAATCGCTTTTCGGATGGGATCAAGCGATCAGAGCGCCACTGGTATCTTTCTAGTGTAATACCGTTTTATGATGAGTTATTGATTGTTATGCGAATGTTACTTGCTTGGACAACTTTATTGGCCTCTATTTATCTCTCAGGAGGTGGGTTTATTCGGGGAAGATTTGAATTTTTCCCTTTCTTTTCTTTTCATTATGTTTCATTCGGTGATCATTCCTATTTCTTCTTCTTCTTTTTATTTTTTGTTGTCATCGATCGCACCTGTCATGGTATTTTTCCCTTTCTTGCGTTTCAAGGCAAAAGCCGAAACTTGGAGCCAAGAAATACAAAGACTTTGCCAAGCTCTTGTCCTTCTTGTCTTTAATCAGAGGCTAGATCAATGGAGAATATTTGATCCCGTGCAGCATTCCTGAACTGGACTGAACATCTGGTATGTAGAATTAACCGTAAGCACTATTTTGGAAAAAAAAAAACTATCTTGGGGGCGCTTCTTACTTGGAAGAGACATACGTTGGAAAGATAAATTAATCGTTGAATGACAACCAGTGCCCCAAAGAGAGGAAATAATATTAATCAAAATCAGAAAAATGAAAAAAAATTCAAGTGTAACCGTAATAAAGCCATCCAATTATTAGATCCAGTATTACACCATTATACACACCCATGTCCCATCTCCAAGTATTACTACTATCAAGCTTAGTTTAGAATGACTCCACAACTCAACTTACTTTCTTTTTTGGTTTCGATCACCCTTCCACATTGTCCTGGGATCATCCTCTCTGGGACTGAGGAACGGACGATGGATTAAGGTCACAGTTTTCCTTTTACCCTATCAGCTGAGAGGAAACAACAAAAAAAAAGGTAACAGTCATCAAACGTTAATAATAAGAATCGATGTTGAATTATAATATCTTGGGTAGTAACTAACAGTAATGAATGATTCAGTCGTTCCCGACAAAACGAGGTCATGTCCGCCTCTCCTCCCCCACGAACCATGGATGAGCGACTATGGAAAACATAAAGGTTAAAATCAAGGTTGCCATTTATTCAGATTTAATCCTTTTACTTTTTTATTTTTTATTTTTTCGCCGTCTACCACGCCCAGGCTCCTGTCCAAAGGGCATCAGATGAAATGATTTGCCGCGGCCCTTTGTGCTTTACCCACACTTTGTCTTCTGATGGCTTCTCGGCATGACCAACGCCTAGAGGTCCAAGCCATCCCCTTCGGTCATTCAATGGGTTTGCTCGCTTCTTGATTTGATTACTGACTGTCTTGGACTCATGAGACAAGGCGAGAAGGAAGGAAGGAAGAAGAATCGAGAAAATCAAAATCGAAATCCCGAGTTAATAATGGGTTCAGAATACATAATAGAATACAGAGTCCATAGGAAAGAAGTAATACATTTACTCTTTTCTGATGGGGAAATAGACTAAAATAAAATATTCCCCCAAAAATGCATTAATAATAATTAAAAAATTACGAAAAAAGAAAATAAATAATAAAAAATAAATCCATTTAAAAAATATTAAAACAACCCTGTGGGGTCCAGAGTTGCAAAGGCTCCACTCTATCTCTGATACTCATGCTTTAATGCCTCCCTTTGTCTGCGTTTCGTTTTCTTTTACATACTCTTTACTACCTCACTGCTACCGATTACTCGACGACCTACTCCGTTCAAATCTGTCTGGAACCTCTTCTTCCTTTCTTTCCCTTCGTCTCTCGTCTTCCAATCCACCAACTACCGTCCTCGCATTGTTCAGGTTCTCTTTTACCGAACCCGTGTCTTTAAGTCACTTCTCTAACATAACACGATCCAGGTGAGTAATTTACGAGGTCTTTTTTCGTTTTCTTTCCCTTTTCCCTCCCTTTCCCGTCCCTGTCATGTTCCAAATGTATCCTTGTCTCATAATCTTAATGACTTGGTCCGCTTGCCTGCATTCTTTATTCTCCTATCAGCCCTCCCCACTCCCCTACGTCCCCTTCCTTGCTGCCTTAACTTGTTCTACATTCCATCCCCCTCCTCCCTCTTCCCTTTAATCCTTTACTCCGACATCGCAAGTGGCCAGGACCTCCCGTGGGCATTGATGAAATACTAATATCAATCCTCCCCAAGATTCCCACCGAATATCCTTCACCGGTGGTGGACTGCTCACAGGATCGGACGTGACTTTCCCTCCCGTGAGCCGGTCCCCATTTCCGCTTTAGGGAAATATACTCGTGGATCGCCCCCCAAATCCTTTGATAGGAGAAACGTCACTAAATAAAGAAACAAGCCGGGCTCAAAGGAGGCATTGCTCCAAGTAGCCAGCCGCTCAATCTTATCAACATTCCGTACCTCAGTAAACAGCCTACCCTGGCGTTGAAGCCTACAACCATTACGGGGTCCTACACAGATCACCGAAGGTGGATGGAGACGTATCACGGCCACGTCCGCACGCCGGCGGACGCTATCATCCTCTTCGAAGCATGTCGCATTGGCCTCCTGCCCCGCGTACAGAGACGATTATCCGAGAAAGAACGCCAATTAATACGCTCCGGATCGGTCTTCGTGTGGGATGAGCGGGAAGCGGGGATGCGCAGATGGACGGATGGGAAGTCTTGGAGCGCCAGTCGCGTGTCAGGCAGCTTTTTGACATATCGTGAAATGGAGGGCAAGCGAGGAGGAACGGGCGTGGCGCAATCCACCATGTCGAGAGCGGGCAAGACCCCCGAGAGCCGAGGCAGCGACGATGACCGCGGCGACGGCCCAGATGAGGGTCCGGATGGCTACAGATACAAGCCTGACGGTCTGATGAAGCAGTCTTTCAGCATAACCACCTCTACTGGGCAACATCTTCATCTCATCAGCTACTACTCTAGGTCACATCCCTCCGCCGCCAACCTTCAACAGCCATCGACCGATCCCGCTCTGCGTCATGTTCGCCCGCAGAAAGGTCTGTACCCAGAATCTACTGTCAATGATCAACAAAATCTGCCAGTAGTGACACGCGGGCCAATGGCTGGAGCTACCTACTCGGTACCACCTCATCCAATGGGTGCATATGCCCGCTCGGGAGCCACGCATCCTCAATCATACACTCCGTCGTACGCTTGGCCGCCAACCCCATTAGCCACCCCGCCAACCGTCCCAGTCCATTATCCCTCGTATCTCCCTCCGGTATCGGGATCGAATGGCCACGTGCCATATGCTCACCATCAACCACACGCCCTGCCTCCCCCACCGCCTCCGCAACCGTTGGCCACGCCTTACGAGCGACCGGTGCATCCAATTGAGGCATTAGCCCCGACAATACAAGCCCCGAGCGTGCAGCATCCGTCGTTACCGGTCATTGCAAATGGCCGGTCACCGCGGCTAGTTGCAGATCCCCACGAGATTCATCAGCGCAGTCCCCAAGAATACGGACCAGCAGACCTTCGAAGGGCATCACCACGCACACAACCCCCATCTGTTCCTCCCGCTGCCGGGTTGGTTGCGCGAAGCCCACGCTTGTTGAACCAAGTTCCTTCAAGCGCGGCACACATCTCTCCCCCGACCACTACCATCAAACCGCCCGAGCCCAGCAGCTCTGGCACAACCGTGCCCAGCATTGGAGCTCTGATGAACGGCACTCCAGCTAGTGGCTCCTTGCCGTCGATCACCGCACCGTCCTCGGGACGAGCCGAAGGACCGCGCGATATCCCCAGCGACAAGATTGGGTTCGGAGGAGAGGACATGCGGGCCCTCCGACAATTAGACCGGGTGTTCACTGCGTGAACGTGACCGGGATTCCTTGCATCTCCCTTGCCTCTAAAGTCATTCTCCGATACTCCACACCCAGCACCTTGCACATTACTCCATCATTCCTTACCATCTGCCTTTTCTTTTTTTTTTTTTGTTTAACTTAGCTCATTGTATGAGATGTACCCGTTCGCTGGTATCCAAAAGTGATATGGAACGGTCATAACGATCTTGTTTTGTTATTTATTGTGATTTTGGGCAGGACCGGCGTTGTTAAAGAGGGTGCATCATAAAGCATGGGTGGGGTCTTTTGCTTTTTGTCTTCCATTATAGCTTGTCTATTTCATATTCCTGAGGCCACTGTTTTCACGGCATTTTGTTGATATACGCTTTGGGACTAGCCTTTGCTGTGGTTAGGATGACTCGATATACCAATTGATCATGTTGATGATTGATCATTCCGGCTGAACTTACTGTGTCCATGTCAAAAGTGTGTAAAAGTCTCTCCCCTGTACCATGTACATAGCTACCCATGGGATACATGTAAATAAAAAAACCCGAGCATGCCACCATAAAGTCAACAATATGCATCCATTACATGTGGTACTCAGTCCAAACATCCAATTGGTATTAGAACCGAATCTAAAAATAACCCAATGTTACACTCCGAGCCAAGTCCCCTGAACACCCATTGAACTAATTACCCAACTCCCGTTCCAGAAAGCAATTTAAACCCTTATAATAACACGCCCTATTATACCTGCATACAATGCAAGCCCCCCTCCTTCATATATTCCTTCCCCCGGGGATGGGCTGCGGAGACGCACTCCGCTCCGGTTGCACAACATACTCGATATGATCCAGCGGCGACTCCGACCCATCATCCTCAAAAGTAGTGCTTGTCGCCTGCCGCGTCGTAACGCCGGGTTCCTCCTTGTTCACCTCTGAGACACCCATGACTCTATCCCCGCTCTGCTCCTGCGGTTTGATGATCCCCATCTCGACGTACCGGGCCATATCCTCCCTATCTCTGTCGATCGGGGATCCCCGACCTGTAATCTCCCTCGCGAACGAACGCAGCCGCTGCTTCTTCCACCACGGTGGATTTCGCTGTCCGATGCCCTCGTCGTTGGCTAACGCGGATTCTAGCTCCCCGCGTTGTGCGATAAGTGCCTTGTCTTCGTTTAGCTCGCAGTAGCCGCAGATATTGAAGAGGAGAATGATGAGTAGGGCGGGGGTATAGCCTAGGCCATAGATCCAGGCGGACTGGACGTCGTATTTCAGCGGCGAGAGGGTCCAATCGAAGGCTGAAGCGATGGCGTAACCGATTTTGATTCCCAGGATGGCGATGGCGAGGAGGAATTGCGAGGGCGCGGCGTTTAAATAGAAGAGGAGTTGGCCGACTAGACTTGATGGGCGGGGCTTGTAGCGGTAGATGCTGTGTTCGAGGCTGTAGGTTATCACCAGCATTCCAGCAAGGGCTATGAAGCCTGCTACGCGCCAGCGGGTGTCTGTTGCCACTGGGCGGGCGTGAGGGTCTGTTGCTCTTCACTGCGTTGGAGCTCGATGGCGGACCAGCTGCGGGGTACAGTGAGGATGAAGTTTAAGAGGGCGAGGACGTAGAAGAGGATAGGGAGGAGGGTTTCCTGCCAACTGCGTGTGCTGGCTTTGGTGAAGGCGTAAGGGTCGCGGTCGTGGATTTGGCGGGTTTGCCATCTTGCCCTGTGTTTTTCATCTTAGCTGCTTGGCTGGCTGGTTGGTTTGTGAAGGTAGGGGGGTTTACCAGTGTCGGACGGCTTCCCAGACTGCAGCCATTAGACCCGGGGTTAGGAGTGTGTAGAATACGCTTTGGAGGATCAGGGGTGCGCTTTGGAGGTAGTTTCTATCGACATCGATGCTCATGAAGCAGCTGATGGCGCCGCAGACAGCGACGAATATGAGCCAGCACCATTTAAGTCGTCGGCTTACGATGTTCCAGCGACGGTCGTGCGGCAGGTAACTCCGGCTGTGCTTGCGGAGGTTGCGGAGGCTGAGGAAGATGGTGATGACGAACATCAGGGCATATGCTAGGCCGAGAGACGCATGTTGGCCGATAGCGTTGATAGGCGCGTAGCACGAGGTTCCATTGATGAATGTGCCATTCTCATCGAACATGTGAGGCCTGAATCGCTGGAACGCTAGGAAGCAGTTCGTGCCATTGGACAGTGTCCCGTTGGTGTAGAGCCTGTAGTTGTAGGTATCGAGCGCGGTTCGATTGAAGTGCACTTCGTTGATTATCACATCGGTACCGTTGTCACCAGGTTGGTAGGGGGCTAGTCCCCGTATGTACAACAGCGTCATAATGAATGAGCTGTGTATTTACAGCCCATCACCGGAGAGAGATATGCAGCGATTTTATCTGTACGGCAGCTCAATGCCGCGTTCCCGTTGCGGGGACTGTTGGCAGCAATTGCGCCTTGACAAGGAAAAGAGAGTTGCGAGCAGCATAATTGCAACCGCGGAAAACTCGGAGGCTGATAGAGGCATGACGAGAGATGAGGTCGCATTCAGGGCACAGTCTATGATGCGTAGAGTGGCCCTGCGATCCAACGGGAAGACCTAATCGGATCCGCGGTTCAGAGTCATATCACATACCGTGCCACAGATCAGCCACGAGGAACCATAAGCTCCGAAAGGGTCTAACTTCTGTTCAGTGATTGCGGTTTGCAGAAGTTTCTTGCCTCATTGGGAAGTTGGTGAAGTCGCTCCATGATATGCATGTGACGAGAATGAGTCTTATCGATAAGATCAGAGATAAGAGAAAATCCTCTTATCGTGACGCTTACATAAGACCAGTAGAGCACAGTCCCGATCGGGATAAATCAACACTACAGGTCACAGGGAATTTCATTCTCTTCTCATGCACCACGGAGAAACTAGAGAATGCAACAGAAACACTCTCCAGAGAAACACCTACCCCTGTCGAAATGATATCAGATGATAGGCAGACGACAGATGAGACATCACACTGCCCCGGGCACACATCCCTTCTCCACCCCGCGCGAGGGAGCTGCACTTTACGACCCCAGCATGCGTATCATTGCGACGTGTGAGAAGAGCACAAGCCGAGGATCGTCGACTTGCAGGAGCACAGCCGGCTCAAAATGAGGCATTTCCTGGTATGCGGGTGATTCTCTGCCGGGTCCAGGGCCAGCCACTTTCTCTTTTCTTTTTTCTGGGTACGGAGGTATTGCACCCATTCCATACCCCAGACCAAGTTCATGCTCAGCATGATTCGGCCGTTTCACGATCCCACGCCGAATACGAACCTTAACTCAATTCAACTAGTGAGCATCATGATCGGAGAATGCATAGGTCATCATTTTTCTTTTTTATCAACTCCTTTTGCCCCTTGGCATTCGTCGTATCGCTCCTCTCTGTATGTGGCGTTTCCTCTGTTTGGAGTTGACAAGGATCCTCTACCTATCTCCAAGGTAACGGCTTGGATCGTATACAGAATACATGCAAACAAGGAGTTGGTGTCTTCATGCAAGGACAGGCGTCCTCGTTTTATCAATTGGAGTGAACTTGTCGCCTTAAAGCAATATGGTTTGAGTAACGCTTCTTCGTATAGGACATCGGTCAGTGACACCTGTATTGCTTGCATGTGATTACACTGTGCAGTCACACGGATACCCATTGAAGTATTCGAATATGCTACAGTGGCTGCGTGTAAGAATTAAAGGGAGGAACTCTGCGCTCTGAGGCCACAACTTGAGGATTCAAATGCCAGCTGTCAGTGTCTACAAATGATTCTGGGAGGCAAAGGGAGAAGAACCTTGGGTATGACGTAACTTGATCTATTTCCCGAGATATGGAATCTGGAGTTGAAGGATGATGCACGGATAATTGATAGAGCACATACCCCCTTGTTCCTATTTCTCTTGAAGCTCGTTTACTCCATCTCCAACCCTATGACATTATGCCTGAACATGTCAGTCTTGATCAAAGTATACACTAGTTGATACCTCATCCTAGGACTTGACAATGACAAAACCAAAAGCAGGTAGTCAGGATGACACAGCAATACGAAACAAGTTGACCCTGAGGATGCTTCTCCCCTTGCGACAATATCCCGTCCTTGAAAAAGCAAAAACAGATATACAATCAGACAAGTACTAAATCTCCAATTGTTGACTGGGCATTCAAGCGATACCCTTGATCAACACATGCCTAGTATACTTGATCTGGTCCATAACATAACAACCTCGATCACAGCCCGATCTATAGGCCAGACACCCTCAGGCACAGTCCACAATCTGACCTATCTAGTCAGAAGCAAGATATTATCAATTACTTCTCCCTGCTTTGCGGCATTTACCATTCAGGCCAAGCGCGGTCATGGTATACAGGAGGCATGCCACCAGCATTCGGCCAGGATGTGGTATAATCCGAGAGAACCAAGACAAGATAGGTTAAACCAGGTCATAGATCTATCTACTATACACGGAGTCGCCGGTTTGCACGCGGGAACCTTGCTCCAAGAAGCATAGACCAGATTATTCAAGCTCTGTAGCCCCTGCCGCATCTTCATCAGTTTCAAAACCATCGGTAATGCATCCTGCAGAACACCCACAGTATTTCCCAAGCTCTATCGTGTGCCAAAAACCCCTGGCCCAAACCCGGTTTATTTTCTCAAATCACTTCCCCTTGCCAAATGCCCTATGATGTCATGTACATTCAAAACTGACCGTATCATTTTAGTCATTGAAATCTGGCACATTTCTTCCCACCCCAAAATGATGGCCTTATTGTGGATCCGCGCAAGATCTTCTCCCAAGTTGAACTGACTCCCACGGCGGACACGCGACCTCCATTCGCGGGCGTGATACGAAACAGGCAGATCAGAATATAAAAGCGATGATTGGCGACTTCGCTATGCTAGAATACGGGGCTTGCCACGAATCCCTAGAAAGAAATTTGGGGGCAAGTACAGTACTTTTACGACAATAATTTGGTGCCCAACAAGTTTTTTTGTCATTGTGCGTACTTGACACGCTTATGTGTAATGAATGGGTGATGTTAGGCACCTTTAGGTTTCTATACAGGGCGTTATGGTTTGTTCCAGACCCGTCTGTTTGACAGTTGATATTTTTTCCCCCCCCTATGAGTCATGTTCTGGGTATGTGCGACTTGCACTGGAGGCGAAAGATGAGGTTGAGGGCTGACACCAATGAACGAACGGAGAGTAAGAGATCTTCTTGACAGACATGATCGTCCAGTGAGAAGATCGTAATGGACTATTTTGGGTTCTGTGAAGTCGGAGTATTCTTCCAGATATCCAGTGAAATTGGTCAATGGCAGCGAAGGGTGGGTCTGGGTCGTGGCCTAAATTATTTTAGTCATGATTAATCGTCCGGGTTGGAGAGCTGAGACTCGAGAGAGCCTTGTGGATTCATTCTGTGCGACCATTTTCTTTTCTGTACAAGCTGAGAGAGAAAGAAGTATGGCAGATGCTTCGGGACTTGTTGGGCTTTTCTTTTCCTGCACTGAAGTTTAATTCAATCTGACCCCACAGTTGAAAGAAACAATTATGCGATCCATGGAAGAGGGTATATATCCTAGTGGAGACATTTCCCACGATGTTCTATATCAGAACACGACTATAGCGAAGAAACGAGACAACCTGTATCAACATAAAACATAAAACATATAGTTTATTAATTCAATCATGTTTCGCATAAGGAATGTCTATCCGAAGCTATCCTTAGCTACCCATGTCTCTTACCTATTTAAGCCCGGTGGAGTCCACAACCAACACTTGCTATGTATGTACATCCAACAAAGCCCGCGACTCAGGTGTCTCCACATATCACCCAGAAACAGAACCAGAAGGCCCCAACCATCTTGCCTCCCCAAAGAGCCACCGCCAACCGCATCCACCGTCCTTCTTACCCAACCGGGATAGTTCCAAGCCTCACTTCCCATGCGGCCGTGCACAGAACAGAAAGCGACCGAACATCTTGGAAAGAAACTAAGAAACTAGATAAATCGAAAAAGGGGATTTAAGGTCACTTAGACTTCGCCCCGTAGCTAAATCGCGCCATCAGGTCCGCTTTTGATAGGCTCGACTTCGGCTCACTTACCCCTGTGGTTTGTGACGGACACGAGGTCATGTGGTCTGGGTCGTGTTCTCGGGCGGTTCGGTACGAGGCAGTACTCAGGTACAGTACATACCGATATTGCGGGAATAGTACATACATGCTTGACTACTGGTAAGGTAGAGATGAACACTGCCAACAGCAAGGAAAGCTATATACAAGCATAAAGTGCTCAACAGGGTGTCGAAGAGCAGAGAAAAAGAGGCTACACAGTCTAATGCCACAGACACTTTGGAAACCGCTCAGCAGCAATAAATCTCAATAGCAACCGAGTTCACGCATAAGATGATACTTATTATACTTACTTACTTCGTGAAGGTCGATCCCTGGGTAGCCTCATCCTGAATCTTCCGTCTAAATACGGGGTAAGTCAGGCTAGCCCCTGTCAACTCCGCATTTACGCAAGGGAGTACCGGATGACGAAGACCAACAGGAATGAAGTAGAGGCAACAAAAAAGCTTGAGGGGGGTAGGTAGGATGTTGCTCATCTGCAATGAACAGACACCAGAGGGAAAGTTTGTTCCCCAGCCACAAGTTGCTCCGCGGGATGAGAGACTGGGGCTCTGGTTGCCTGCACATGGATCTCATCAACAAGGATGGGAGACGACCTAGATCACACACACCCCTCTTTTACGGGAATACCCTTCTGTTGGCTCCACTGGATTCGTGTGTTCCCCAAATCGCGGTGGATGAAGGACTGGGACTCAATCCTTCGGGGCACAAAAATACTGTATACACAAGAAGCGAGTCATGTCCATCCGGATGGCGGTGGTGATCTTAATAGTTCAACTAAGGTTCAGTTCGTTGCCTTTAGTCTGAATTGGACTTCTAATGCATACAGTAGTTGGATATGGAGTGCATGAAGACACATACATTTTTATTTTTTATTTTTCTCAGTGGGGCTTGTTGTTTCACTAACATTCTTTGATGCTTATTACATTGTCGTGGTCACCTGTGTCAGGTTAAATATGTGCAGGTGAGCCGTTATAAATGGTCTTCGGGGAGATCAAAGTAGGTAGTAGTGTATATCAAGTCTATTGGTCTTCACATCGTACCTTACCTACTTCAGAGCTCAATCCCTGTCCCATCTCTGAGCTTTATTCCTATTTATCCCTAATTCATTGTCAAAGATACCACGCCAGCTGCCGGCTTTCCGCGATAGGAAATCCGCAGTGCTCATCTGATGCGCCCCAAGAAAGCCAAATACGGTCATTACCGTACCGTACAGTGATGCCAGAATCTCAGGGTGACTGTGCGGTAGTTTAACCTTCTGCCCGTCCCTTCCCAGACACCGATCGTCAAGCTTAATCTACTGAGATTCGAATAAACAGAGGGTTTTTTCTCATAGGCGGTGGGAAGAAGCCAAGGCTTAAGAAACAGAAAACCAGGAAAAAAGGGAGCCCTGAGCTACACCGTGCACGTCCTCACTTCCCAATTTGTCGCCTGGCAGATGGAGTGGGCTCCCCATTCCAACCAGTTTCGCATCAGCAAAACGAGGCCCAAGCACTCGGAAATTCAATCACCCAATGATGATGAGTAGAGACAGTGGAATCGTACTGGAGCTAGGAGGGGAACAGAGGTCGAGTGATACTCCATTGATCTGATTGATGACGACAACCGTTAAGGAGGCAACAGCTTCAATGTTCTGAACTGTGCCGACATCGTCCAGCGTCTGCATTTTTGAATGCAATAGGAAAAGTCTATCCAGGCAACAAGGATGAGCAGAGTAACCCCCAGCGATCACCTGATACGGCTCCTTGGGTTTGGCAGGTTAAAGTAAAAGGATGAAGTCTCTTCTGCAGTGGTCGGATGTCCGTGCCTTGTGCACAGAAGATCTGGCCCACTTCCCCAGATTGTGTGAAGGAATGAGAGGTTTTATTTCGTTTTTGTTTTTTCTCTTTTGTTGCTTCTCCCCGGTCTCGGGGTCAGGTTGAACGAACCTATGTAATACAGAAGAAGAATCACCACACCATCACACTTGACGTAAGACCAGAAGTGCGAGGTAAAAAAGATCGGACGAGGACGCGACTGGTCACAATACTCCCAGATGCAGGGAGCTTCATTCCTCAAAAGGAAAGTGGCCTGCGGTGTCGCTGCCTGGACACCGGCCCATCTCCGCGCTGGTGAGTGACAAGACTGCGCTGGTCAGTAGCGTGGGGTGTGGCGTCCACCTGAGCCGGAGAAGTGTCTATCCTGGCATGCAAGTAATGCAGACATAACACCCGGACGGGGCAATCATGGCCGTAAGATGGGCTTTGTCCGGGTTAGTGGCATTTGTTAGTCGCGTCCTTTCAGTATCAAGTTAGCACTGACAATTTTAGGTGGCCTGGTACGTACCAGCGGAAGGAGTGCGTGCAGGTGGTGGTGAGGTATGTATGTATTGTAACGATACAGACGGATGTCCCGGAAAACTCTATATCGATCGTCCACTATACCCACTAGGTTCTGATGTCTACATGCGTCCTATCCTCACCATTGTGGTAGTACTTCGGAGTAGCTCGATTGAGTTGAATTGAGCTGAGGAACTTCCCTTAATGATTCAGGAAGTTTTGAATGGTTGTTACCAAGCGAAGAATGTCCTGACTCCCACCTGGCCGGTTTCCTAGCCATTTCATTATCGGTCGATTGAAAACCAGCCAAATCCACCAGAATCTCAATCCGGGCCGTCAAATATGTACGAGCCTCAACTTGTACCGATTATGCACTACAAAGGCATACCCCTGGAGTTCATCCATGCCAGTTCGGACTGGCTTGGATTATGCGTCCATCAAGTGAGAGCGACTCACTTCCCAAGAGGGTAATCAGGATCATCCGCCGTCGTCACCCATGCGATTATTTAGGTTAAGTGGGAATTTCGAGCAGTTGGTTCAATGGGCATAATTGCTTTTGTTGCTCTGTCCATTTCGATGGACTCTGATTTGCTTTGAACATGATTTGATCCGACCTACTGAATATTCCGGGTTCCCTTTCTGATTTTCAATCCCATTATGATTTTCGTTTAGGCTTTCTCTTCCTCGCTTGGACCAACAAATCAGCAGTGGAAATCCAACAAGCTTGGCATTCTTGCTCCCCGCATGGTCAGAGTTTAATGAAGTGCGTGGCAGGAAGTAGAGATAGAAAATAATAATCATAATAATAATAATAAAAATGCTTCTCGTAAGTAGTAGTAGTATTAGTAGTAGAAAAAAACATTGGAAATGGGATCATGGATGGATCACTCTTTCATAATTCTAAGATTAATTGTCTCTTGTCTCCAATAAGGCCGCAGCATTTCTGCAACTGCCAACTTGGTAATTAGTGTGGCAGTTCAATTTTCTTTTCCCTAGCTAGATAATACCTATTAATATTCATCGACTCCAATTGATGATCCGAAAGAAAGTTTGCCTAGTTTGGGTGCCCTGCCTATGAGGATCCACCAGCATGCTAACCACCAGAGCACAGAGGATTGACATACTCCATACTCTACATGTAATTCATCTGACCCTCTCATTCTTGCCTCCAGATCCAGTGCAACGGACTCCAAATTTTATTTAGGGACTAACTCAAAAAGAAAAATAAAAATGAGGGAAAAAATATGATTTCTCCTCTCTATGTATCTATATAATTTTTGAATTAATACCTAATTAATATTTATTTCATTCGGGATGTTTCGTAACTACGGACCTACATACGTAGAGAGCTAGTTCACTACTAACTACTCTTATTAAAACCCCCATTCCCATTTCCCAATTTCCCCTCCTCTCTCCACTTGCTAGATAAAATCCCTTTCCAAGCCAACCAAACGAAGCGAAACGAGCAAACAACCCCATTTACCACATCCTCCGATACATGCATATAATCCACTCCGACTACTACTCAAGAGTCCCCATACGAAGATCGACCCATCCCATTAACCATTCCCACTCTGATCCACCACAGCCTATACTTTCACTACACCTGCGAAACTAACTACTACTAAACTTACCAAACCAACATTCTCGTTGACCACCACTAAATCACAGCCAAGTCTAGTTTACTCCCCGCCTAAGGACCTCATCATCAAGCTTTCAGTCTTTCTTTCATCCCCCCTCTCTCCTCTCCGGCCTGTGCATTAATTAAAACCACCTCTTAAACCCAGTCACAGTCACATTCTGTATTGGAATTTTCGTTGCTGCCCCTCTTCTCTGCTCCTCTTCCTTTATCCTGATTGACAACCAACCTCAACCACTCGTGGTGACAACTCTTCCCATAACATTCTGTTATTTCTTACAGCACCCATTCAAAAAGGGGGAAAGAAAACAGAAGGGGAAAAAAAATTAAAAGAAATCTTTTTTCCAGCACCTCAAATACCCGAGGTGAATGTTTGGTCAATGTTGTCCATGCAAAAAAGCTCAGCTTTTGTGTTTACTCCGACGGAACTTGACAGCAGCCACCGTCATCAAGGCAACTCCACCCGCTCGGGCAGTTTTTCGGAAAACCCCGCTCTCGCCGACTGTCCGTTCATAGATGACTCTTCGGTCTCCCATCGAGCCAGTATTAGTACCGATGGCCTTTCTAATGAGTCTCTCGAATCCTGGGACGGCGATGGTCCGTCTGCCAGCTCACCTGTTCCGGAACTGGAGGTGAAGATCCACGACGTGTCGCAGTCGCTCCACTCGACATTCCCTTCCACAACAACCGCAACATTTACTTTCAACATGGTTACATCTCACGAATCTGATGTCTCTATGGATGACGTGACTCCTAAAATCGAAGAGTTAGACGATGCGGATGAGTTGCAGAGTATAAAACCTTTGGCGGTGGATCCGATGGCCAATGCGAATTCGGAGGTCACGGCTACTCCCGTCAATGTTCCACGGAAACGTGGGCGACCTCGCAAACATCCTCTTCCGATTCCTGGAGGCCAACTCAAAATTACCAAAGGTCGTTCCAAGACAGGCTGCATAACCTGTCGGAGACGAAAGAAGAAATGCGACGAAACCAAGCCATCGTAAATTCTCTCCCTCCCTGGTCTTCTCACAGGATCTCTAGATTGTGATGAGTGCGAAAATTGACTAACTATTCTTTGTCCCCTCTCAGTTGTTTGAACTGCCAAAAGAACGCGGTTGTCTGTGAAGGATATCCTAGGAAGGAGGTATGGAAGAGTGGAAAGCAGAAACTAGAAGAATGTAAGTTCTCTTTTTACCCAGTCCTTGCACCTGTACTGCATCCGGTCTCCTTTTCTTCTATGGCTCCATATCTACCGTTACAACAACCTCTTCAATCAACATGCATTCTAATCCCTTTTCTTTTTAAACATAGCAGCTCGGGCCTGTATGGTCTCTCGCTCCCTTCCCTTCTTGATCGACGGAATTGAAGACGATACCGACCGACGCTTCTTGGACCACTTTGTCTACGGATTCAGTCGCGTTTTGACATTGATTAATGATGACTCGAACCCCTTCAAGGAGATACTCCTTCCCATGGCTACACAACACCGGGGACTAATGCATTCGCTTATGTGCCTATCCGGCTCACACTTATCGGGACTGGACCCAGAGCCGAAGTTTATAGCCCGAAAATACCACCATTTCCATTGCGCAATCCAAGACCTGCAGCACAACCTTCTTATTAAAGCTTCTTCAAAACCGAGCAACCCGGGAGAGGATCCCGACCTTCTAGTTGAGGATCCAATAATAGCATCGACAATAGCGCTCAGTTTGAACACGATATGTGAAGGTGAAACTAAGGGGGAGTACCGGATGCACATGGATGCCGCAAAGCATCTTCTGAAACACCAGAAACCGAGGAACGAGAAATTTCGGCAGTTCATTGTTGAATTCTTTCAATACCACGATGTTTCCAACTCGGTCACCTCGCTGGACCGACGGCCGGCCCATTTAAATGGCGACCTTAGACTACCCGACTTTGTGCCACATGCACAGGCGGGTATGTTTCTGGGGGTATTCGATGGGCTCTTTAACTACATTTCCGAGGTGACTAGGTTGAGGGACAAGATCAGGCAGCGACACAATGAAGGGTATGAGCCAGCGGTTGACTACCAGATACTAAGTGAGGCCGTCTCCATCGACTCCGCTATCCGGCTTTGGGAAACGTCCTATCCGCCCAACACTGCGAACTGGTCTTTGGCACAGCTTTATCGGCAGTCGACCTGGGTGTACCTCTATCGTACCATTCGCCCTTCGCAACCAGGTGACAAGATAGGTCAAGTGGTGGATGATGGCCTGGCATACCTGGATCAGCTTCCACAGGACGCTGGCGCGTATAGCATTGTCCTGATGCCATTGTTCCTCCTCGGATGCTCGGCGTTCTTGCAGCACCAGCGGGAGCGAATCCAGAAAGGATTCGAAACCCTCAAGTCATACTCCAACCTTCGCAACATCGAACCTGCATTCAAGGTCGTAGAAAAGGTGTGGGAAGTCATGGACTCCAACATCGAAGAAAGTTGGGATTGGGAGAAAATCATCAATGATATGGAGATGGATTTTCTCATTACCTGAGTCAAAATTCGCAATCTCATCTGCATTATTGCATATTGACCGCGTATATCTTCTATCTGATACGACAGTTTTTGGAACGATATTTCGATTTCTTCGATCTGCACTGTTCACTATCCATCTAGGGAGTGAGCACATGGCGTTATGTGGCCCATGCAAGCATTTTCTTTTGGTGTTTTTTTTTTTTTTTTTTTTTCTTTTCCTTGCTTCTTTTGGCGATAGGGAGTGGTCGGGGGATCGGAACCCGGTGTCAAAAATAAGGATGAGAGCACGAAGTCCGTGTTTCTCTACGGCTACGGAATAGGGAAATGGTGTCAGTGCATGATTGATGGCACGCGCGGTCATGGATTACAGTATATTGTATCTCAGATTTTCATTGGTGGAGTGTCTAAGGGGAATTGCCGGACGACTATCAGCTTCTATTTTTGCCTGTATTCTATATATCCAGTTGTGTCGATGAGCTCTTCGTGGTTTGATTGACTTTGATGACCTTTTCCTTTCTTTGTATAACGATTGCGGTTATGAGTGAATATTTCTATTCAACTTTTGATATCAAACGTCAACTGTCTACATAATATAACCTACTCAGGAGTAATGAGTATACAAATGTGTACAGATATCATGTTTACGCGACAAAACCTTGCTAGTTCGAAAAGTCTACAAACTTAAAGAGGACGGAGGAGAACCTATAGTAGCTCAAGCTGTTTTTAAGTAGGGTGTTTAGCTGGTGATCGACAGGTTCCCAATAATTACTAGAGGATATATACTATGAAGGTGTATCAGGTGAGCTGCTTTGCAGGACTGCCTCTGTGTATCGCTATGGTGAATATTTAGCAGATGCTACTGGGAATGTCCGTCTTTCTCCCCTTACCATTACTTTACTTTCCTATTGTATTTCAGCTATCTACGAGTCTACATCTAGGATTACTATAACTCGTTCTCCACGTACACCAGAGTCACTCTCTTTTTCCAAGCGTCAAGTCCTTCGCTTTACTTAATCTTATTTGCATCTTATCATTTCGGCATAATACATGAATCTCTATATAATAAGCGAAAGGATGGTTTTTTTATCAGACTGAGACCATCACTCGAGACCCATCGATACTGCTTATGGGACAAACCAAGCCAAGGGTACTGAATGGACTTCCATTCAGGAAGAGATATCCCATTTTGAGCAAGCTGCCTGACACAACACCATGGCGAGGTCCCAGATCTAGTTGGTGTGCCTTTGTGCCACTATATACAAGGGCACATGATTTGGTTTTTTCATTATAAAAAATCAGACTCGCGGTCACAATCGCTGAGGCTTCTGCAAGACACTCGGGATATTCTGTATGATTCTCTTCTGTCTCCACAAGGATCAAGGATGCATTAATGGCTTCTACGTCAATATATAACTAGTTTATCGCATCATCCTTTCCCAACAGAGAAAAAAGAAACGAAAGACTTAAGAGGCTTCCCGACTATCCTTACAGAAATGTCGACTCCCGTTAGGCTGACCAACCTTCCAGCCAATAATTCCCGATGGCTTCCAGCTAGTCTCTTTGGGGTTTATGCTCCTTTTAGCTCTGATACGCCAAACCAACGACGGTGGCCGATTCCCCCAGACCGTTGGTCTTGGCCCCGCCCGCGTGGGTACAGTAGGGCCTCCAGCTTAATTACCGATTATCATGCCCTGAGGGCCTGGCCCCTTTTCTCTTTTTATCTACCTCTTTTCATTTTTTGTGGATAGACAAAGGGTCTGTATACGGAGTAATTGAGAATGTTGGGAGTTGCCTGCTGTGTATAGGCGACCTGTTACCATGGATGGAGACGACATTTGCCCACTGGATGACCCAAAACATGGCGTCAATGTCGAAAGTTTACAAGACCAATCGGCCACTTTTAATTTATCCTTTCGCGAAGTCCAGCCCGTTGACATACGCGTGAAGAACCTATCGCTGGAAGTTGATATCTCTCCCCCGATATGGGAAACCGCCCCGTCACAGATATGGCGCCGTTTACGCGGGAAGACGGCGGCCGATGCGCAGAAAACCGTGCTGGACGGAATCGACGCTTCCATGCCGAGTGGCAGCTTGACGGCGATCATTGGTAGTAGTGGATCTGGGAAGACATCGCTGCTCAACCTTATGGCAGGCAGAATGGGTATGAGCAAGGCCGCTGTCGCAGGGACTACGACCTTCAATGGCGATGCCAACATTGAGAGCGTTCGCAGTGCCTATGTCATGCAGGAAGATGTCCTCATACCCACACTGACGGTCCGAGAGACTCTGCGGTACTCGGCCGATCTACGGCTCCCGCCGCCTACCACGCAGAAGGAGCGCCATCAAATTGTAGAGCAGGTCATTATGGAGCTAGGCCTGAAAGAATGCGCCGATACACGGATAGGCACCAATATCCACAAGGGCTGCAGTGGGGGTGAGAAGAGACGCACGAGTATTGGGGTGCAGATGTTGGCAAACCCGTCGGTACTATTCTGCGATGAACCGACCACAGGCCTCGACGCGACAAGCGCCTTTCAAATTGTCCGAACGTTGAAACGGCTCGCCCAAGAGGGAAGAACAGTCATCGTCTCGATCCATGCCCCTCGCTCAGAGATTTGGAATCTTTTTGATAATGTCATTCTCCTAGCCCGGGGGTCGGTCGTTTATAGTGGACCATCAAGCGGGTCTTTGACGTACTTTGAAAGTCATAGCCATGTGCTTCCTCCCTTTGTCAATCCAGCGGAGTTTCTGATCGATCTTGCTGCTATTGACAACCGTACAGAGGAATTGGAAGCAGCGTCCCTGGCGAGAGTTGAATTTCTCAAAACTTCGTGGAGAACTAAACGGAAGACCGACAAGGAAGTGTGCGGATTACGGCAAGATGACGAGAAGCGTGAGGGTTCAACTACACGGGCACAAGACATACCGATGGCGAAAACTGTATCTTTCAATCGGCAGTTCCGTGTCCTCACCTCTCGTACATTCAAGACAACAATTCGTGATCCTATGGGTCTCGCGGGTAGTCTCCTTGAGGCTATCGGCATGGGTGTCATCAGCGGCTGGATCTTCGTGCAGCTGGATGAGAGCCAAGCAGGGATTCGCTCCCGACAAGGAAGCCTTTATACCTCAAGCAGTCTAAACGGATATCTCATTCTCCTTTATGAGACATACCGACTAACGATCGACATACGGCAATTTGACCGGGAGAGAACGGAAGGTGTTGTTGGGGTTCCGGCTTTCTTATTGAGTAGACGTGCAGCGAGACTGCCTTTGGAAGATTTACCCGTTCCAGTTATCTTCGCTATCATTTTCTATTTCATGGTGGGATATCGCCTGAGTGTGGACCAGTTTTTTATCTTTCTGGCCATTACAATCCTCACTCATTACATTGCCATAACTTTTGCGGCCGTCTCCATCGGCATCGCCAGGAGCTTCCCTGGGGCGAGTCTAGTAGGCAACCTCTCGTTTACGGTGCAATCGTTCGCGTGCGGCTACTTCGTGCAGTCAAATCAGATTCCGGTCTATGTGCGTTGGCTAAAGTGGGTGGCGTATACCTTCTATATCTTTGGGGCGCTATGTGCCAATGAGTTTATTGGCCCCAACGGGCCGCCTGAAGGCCAGTTCTACGATTGTCCCTATTCCGACGACCCCAATGATCCTGCGTGCACGCAATACACGGGTCGGTATATCATGGAGAGCCTAGGATTCCCATCTAATTGGATATGGCGGCCAATCGTAGTATTAGTGGCATTTGTCGTTGGCCATTACTTCCTGGCTGGTATTCTTCTACAGTACAATCACTTTGCAATGGATATAGCGCAGGCACGGAAGACCGATAAAGATATGAGTACTGGGGTGGAGAAGATGGCCGTCCGACCAGCCGAGGAAGCGCGCAAAGTAGCCATATCACTAGACAAGTATGCTCTTGACATACGAAAACGAGGGTTCTTTGGACGAGGATCGCGAACATTGTCCATTCTCAAACCTATCACCGCAGAGTTTCAGCCAGGTAATCTGAACGTGATTATGGGGCCCTCGGGCAGCGGGAAGACGTCGCTCCTCAACTCTGTTGCGCGACGACTACATGGTTCCTTGAACACACAGTACCAGGTCCACGGCGACATGCTATACAATGGAGCTGTCCCCTCCGAAAGTGTCATCCGCTCTGTCACGTCGTTTGTGACCCAAGATGACGATGCATTAATGCCCTCACTGACAGTGCGCGAGAGTCTTCGATTCGCGGCGGGACTACGATTGCCCGTTTGGATGTCACGAGAAGAGAAAAACCGCCGGGCGGAAGAGGTTCTGCTCAAGCTGGGGTTGAAAGAGTGTGCCGATAATCTGATTGGGAGCGAACTGATCAAAGGCATCAGTGGCGGAGAGAAAAGGCGCGTCACGATCGCCATTCAAATCCTGACCGATCCGAAAGTGTTACTGCTCGACGAGCCCACTTCAGGCCTGGATGCTTTTACGGCCATGTCTATCATTGAGGTTCTCAAGGGACTCGCCGAAGAGGGGCGCACTCTGGTCATGACCATCCATCAGGCCCGATCGGATTTGTTCCAGCATTTCTCCAGTGTTTTGCTTCTTGCGCGAGGGGGGTATCCAGTATATGCGGGCGACGGCTCAACAATGTTATCATACTTTGGGGCATTGGGATACCACTGTCCGCAGACAACCAACCCAGCCGACTTCGTGCTGGACTTGATTACAGTGGACCTACAACAAGCAGACCGAGAAGCGGTGACCCGCGAGAGGGTCCAGAAGCTCATTGTCGGCTGGGATCGCAAGACATTCGATCACGGACGGCGAACATCTCACATCGCTACACCAGCCGAACTGGGCAGCCTGAAGCGGCAGATGCTCCCATTACGGATCACGTACCCCTTGGTGCTGCATCGGTCGGCGATCAATTTCTGGCGACAGCCACCGCTTGTCATGGCACGATCAATGCAGGTCGTGGGGATCGCAATTATCATGGCATTGTTCTTTGCGCCCTTGAAGAACGATTACGCCGCG